GTATACAACTTAATATTTTTTTAATATACAAATTGCACAATGATTTATTTTTTATAGCAGTATTTTTTTAGTTGACTAATATAAATAACAATGATTATTATGATAATTTATAAATTTTTATAAATGGCAGCCCTTCGAAAAAAATTCAGTCGTGGCCATGGCCAGGCTGACAATGATACTGATATAGCAATTGGCATGTTTGAATTTAAAATTACAGTAACTACACATGATAAGTCTTGTATTCTAGATTGACGTGAGCCATGTACCCAAGTAAGAATTGCAGAATGAATTCATTTCTTTAATTGAATACTGACGTCGTCATAATAATTTCGGCTTTCTGAAAGGTATAAATCGAAATATATAAATCAAAAGGTAGAATACTAGGTTTTTAGATTTTCCGAATCACTAGAGATATGAAAATCTAGCGATTTTTTTTTTTTTTTACACAAAAATATATGTTTAAAGATTTATAAACTGTCTAAAAATGTACAGCTATTAGCAATCTCGGTTCCATACGTGATAATAGGTTTAATTTTTTGGGAACAATGATTTTTTAGAACGTTCTAGTATATATATATAAATGTTCAAATACCCTCGACAACCCATCGCCACAACGCTTAATCATCCTATAATATTATATTCCTAAATAATGTACTTCGACCGTTAATGATTCAAACAATCGAAATTTTATCACGGGGATTCGTACAGGCAATTTAGCAGCACGAACGCACATTTTCAGATTAAGCACATTATTATACAGACGCTCAGTATAACACAAGAAAGTTCATCGATAAGTAAATGGATTACAGGTTTTTAAAGTCATCAAGGTTATAGAAATTAGTAAGATAACTTTTAACTAAGAGAAAGACGTTGATGATTTTTGAATTTTTTATACAACTTTAATAACATAAAAATATTATATAAAACTAATTTTAATTTTGCATATTATTCCTTTTTTCATTTTTAATGATTTTATTTTCTATTTAATTAGGGGCGCAATTTCAATGAAAAAACTGGGGGTGCTGAAGCCCTTCTATCTTTTTTGTTTCTTAATGGTTATAAACACGCGCAGCCCGTACAATTTAACAGTTACTAAAATATTTGGTAAATATATGAATATTTCTAAATTTAAATTGTTCACTTTGATTTTATATTTTTATTGCGCATATAACGAATTACCTGTCTGTAAACACAAATGTTTCCTCATATGATCACTTTTAGATTTTGATTGAAGCGAAGTATATAATGATTTTATAATGATGTTTGTATCTTATTTTTTTAACACTTTCGGATAAAATTTAATTTAAAATTAAAATTAAATACAATTAAAAACAAAAGTTGGAAAATTATTATACAAAATTTACCTATAATAGCGAAAACAATTAACAACTATACGACGTAAACCGATCACCGTGATAGTGTTATCGATCGTCACCGTTACTTCTCGGAAATGTTTTAGCTCATAGGGGTTCGTATAAAAATTATACGGTGATTGAGACGCCACAACGCTTGTATATCTGTAAATCAATTCTAGGTAAAATAAATCGAAATTACGATAATGCAGCAGTACCGTACGTCAAAATTAAGCACAATGTACCAATCTCAATGGTATAATCGTTACGATCAAAATCGTCAGACCCTTTACATGAATAACTTGTTCGTTGTTACTAATAATTCTTTATAAAATTATATTGAACTTTTACGATTTACATCTGATAGGACATAATAAGCAGACTTAATAAACAATTCCTGGATTTCCGAGAGAAGGGTTGAAGCCCCCTCAGCCGCTCACCCTCCCCCCCATAAATATACCCTTGTGGGGCCCCATACAAGCGCGGCACCCAGTGCGATCGCAACGCTTGCCCCCCCCTCTCTAGGGCCGGAACTGGTTAAATGTTAAAAATTACTGTGAATAACCCGTTTAGTTAATATTTTATACACTATAATTAAAATAGTTATGTAAGCATCAAAACAATTTAGAGAGAGGGAAGTAACAAAAATAATATTAATTAACAAAAAAACATTTGGAAATTTGATTTAGTCACCTTTAGCTATCTACTCGTAATATCTTTTAAATGAACAAAAACTTGTTTTATCACATTTTAGTAGTTGATTAAATTTTACTTATTATAAATTTTATAAGAAATTTAGATTTGTATGTAACTTGAATTTATCCAATACCAAAACTAATGAATTATAATAATTATTAATATAAATATAATGAGTATTAGTTTTGATAAAATATGATCATATACAAAGATATTATAATGCAATGATATTTTTATTTAACTACTTAAACTGACCAATTTAAATACCTACTTTATATTATTTTTGATTGCATTGTTTGTTTAAATATATTAACCTGTAATTGATAATTAGCAAACATTTAAATTAAAGTATATCAAAGTTCACAAAATATACAAGAATTAATTATTATTTATTAAAATAAGTAGTTTTACATATACAATAAAAAAGGTAAAATTATTTGTCACAAATATGGCACATAGGTTAAAATTATTATAATACAGCTTTATAATTAAAAATTTGATCTAGTTTGAGGTCATATAAAATATATTGCAAATTGCCTTACGACATGTTCATGCATATTTTAAATGAAAGTCTTGTAAAATTATTCACAACAATTACTATAAAAAAAAAAAAAATAAAAAAAAAAAAAGAGCTGTAAAATTTAATCACAAGCAGTATACAGTAAGACTAGTTGTATGAACAATTAATTCAGATAATAACATTCACCCAAATTTATTTTCCAGATATGTAAACATATTTTATAAATAAATATGTTTTACAATATATTCTAATCAAATTAAAAATAATTACACAACCAGTTTATATTATACACATAAGTATACATACTCGTATTTGTATATAATAGTATAAAAATATTACAATTAATTTTATCGTCCAGCAAAATTCTAACATTTTTGAAGACAAACCATTAAAATATTTTAGTTTTGGTTACTCAATTAAGTTAGAATTCTGCAGGATATATTTTTATTATAATTATAGTATTTAAAATAACATCAAAAATAATAATGAAATACATCTTATTTGGAAAATGTATAATAACAATTACATAATAAATTAATAATAATCACTCTATGGAATGTAAATGAGAAAATTACAAGACCACTAATAGTATAAGAATGAGATTTCATTTTTGATTATACTTAATCCTACTTATTAAAAATCGATGAATTTTTGAACATAACTATATGAGTAGGGAAATTGTATGATGTCTAAATAGATACATTTTTAATCAACCAATAAGTATAATGGTATAATTTAGAATTAAATAGGATACTTGTTAAAATAATTTTAAGTAAAATACTATAAAATCTATCAGATCTTGACACAAACTAAACTAATAATTAACTTAAATATATTTTTAATAACATTAAAATCATATTTGAGCAAAAAATAAACTATAAGTCTTAGTTTCAATTAAAGAAAAAATGTAATTAAATATATACTCCTAATACAGAATTTAAAATGGTTAAATAAATTATATATATCTATAAATCAATCAATGATCTATTGGCACAGATTTTAATGAAAATATTTATTTTAACATTATACTTAAAAAAATGTAAAAATCTTGAATTAAGATATTGAATTGCAAATTGGTATATAGAAAATGGACATCTATACTAATGTTAAAAGGTCATGTGAACATCATGTTATTATTTTAAACTCATCCAAAACGATTTACAAGATATTTCAAGAAGTACAGACAAATGGTCATAATGACAATAAAACAAAAAATAAAATTATTTAAAAAAGTTCAATATTATAATATATTATTAAAATTAAATATGGATAAGGAAATAACCTTTTCTATAATGGCAGTTAGTGCAGTAAGGACACTTAAATAGGTACTAATTGTAGGCCTATTTACTTTATTATAAAGAGCATAAATAATTTTTATAGAGAAAATTATGTAAAAATAGTCCAAAACCATGTATAATTAATATTATAATAAATTATTTTCAATTAAAAATCAATGCATCTCAAATAAACATTAATAAACAGAGCAATTTTCTTAATGTAGATCAGTCAATATAATCAGAAAACTACAAAAATATTAGTTTTAATTATTAGAATAACATAATTTTTTTTTTATAAATCACAATTTTTCATGCTATTTTATATAATATAAGATCTTAGTACTAAATAATTAAATTTTATTAGGTTTAAATTTTTAAATTTTTAATGAGAATATATTATGTAAAAAAAATATTGACTGATTTTCATTAACAAAAACACCTTGTACATCAAAGTATAAAACTTAATAAGCTACCTATATCAAATATCATGTTGATTTAAAAACATTTAACCAATCTCAAATGTATCGTTAATTTGAAAATGATTTATAAAAACAAATTGTTGATAAAAAATAATGTAATTTGTAATTAATGTTTTACCCAAATATTGAACTTTATAATTTATTTTCATTTAACAACTCTTAGTAAGTTTACTTTACACCAATGAAAATACAAGTGATTCAATACAATCACATTTTTCTTGGTAACATTAGTTTGTATTCATTTGAAATTGGCAAGAGATTTCAATTTAATCACAAATTTACTGGTCCATATAAATATAATATAAAATATAATTTGTCAAGAATTTAATTAAAAATATAAATTTATATGATTTTCATAAGCAATATCAGGTAATAGAAAAAAATGTTTATCCTCTCTAAAATACAAAGAACTGATGGTATAGAAAAATGTAATTTAATTTAAAATATTGTCAAATAAATTTAAAAACTGACTCTACTTTACCATAATTCTTTTATAGTAAAATCTGTCTAAAAAAAAACGATATTCTTATAAATATACTCATACTTATAAATAGAAAACAGAATAAAACAATAATTGTAAAAATAATTTTGATTGGGAAATTTGAACTCTTAAATTATGAACTAAAAAAAATACAAAAAAAAATGTAATTACAGAGTGTACTGACTTTCATTTTCAAATAACAATTGAAATGTTATGTGTCTGGATATAAATGATTTAGTATGATTTTTTATTTTTTTTTTCCATGATAAATTTTTCTATATAATTATTATACTTATATAAATAATTTACATTGTCATACAGGTATTTTCATCTAGGAATAGGAACTAGTAGTAATGATAATCAATAGCTATACAATGAAAAAATTAAAATAATAATCTACAAGTAGCTGTTTTCAAATAACAAAGAATATGATGAACAATTAAAATTTAACTTTCTTATGTTCATAATTCATAAGATTTTTTTTACAAATTATAATAACCAGAATACAACTTAAAGTAAAAAAAAGTAAAATAATTTGTCATGTACCATTATGTTTCGTCATGGCTATTTTCTGGAGATAATATTTGATTCATCAAATTAGTACTCTGTAATAAACCTTTACTTTCTTCACTACCAGTCACCGAAGTACTACTACCAGCACTATAAACGGAATCATATACTGGATTTCCAAAATGTCCACTTGGCTGTTAAAAATTCCTGTTAGTATAAATATTACAAGATTAAGAGACTTAAAAATTACCTTTTCTTGTAAAGGAAAAGCACGTTCTAAATGAATATCTTCATCATCTATTTCATCCTGTATGTACATTGGATTATTGACCTCTAAGTTTTCTTGCATTCTTACATGCAAAAATGAACGACCTCTACAAATCAAATGACATAATTTTTGAATTTTAGAAAAATTAAAGAAAATTCAAATAATTACAAATTTGATATTAAATTTACCTTCTTCTGAATTTGGTGAAGTAATATGTAGTACCAGTAACAACAATCAACATTATAACAATTAAGAATATGATCCATAATGCACTTAAACCATGATTATTATCTGAAGACGAGTATTCAACTATTAACAGGGTTATGCACCTATCTCCACCAAAACCTTGACGACAACTAAAAAATAAAATATTTTGATCTGAAAGCATTAATAATATTTAAATTATATATAATATTTACTGGCATGATAATTGTCCATTTGTTTCTTCAGGTTCAATACATGTACCACCATTTTGACAATAATTTGAACAAGTGAGCTGATCATTACATCGTTGTCCAGTCCATCCTGGACTACATTTACAATTAGGTTCATCAACTCCAGAATTTGATTCTAGATAACATGTACCATTATTATAACAATAGCCCAAGCATGAACCTGAATCTACAATTATATTACTACAATCAGGTGAGCCCCAAAGACCAACACACCTAAAAAAAAGAAATGGATTAGTGATTTTATGATTTTATAAATAATAATAAATTCAATAACTTGAAAAAAGATACAAATCCAATTTTTTTTATAAATATCTATAAAATTACTATAAAAAGTATATAGATTTTTTTGTTTAATTTACCTACAAGATGGTTGATTATTGACAATGATACAAGTACCACCATTTTTACACATTTCAGGATGACACAAGTTTTTAGTAGCATTTAACTGATCACATATAGGATGGTTCCAATTAGGATGACAATGTGTATGGCATTCATGATCATTTTTAGAACATGTACAGTTACAAATATTGATACGACAAGTTGGACCTTTGAACTGTGGTAAACATAAACATGCAGTAATATTGTTCTTTATATAACAAGATCCTATAAATATAAATACATATTAATATCACATGTTATAATCGGTAAGTTTATTATTATATAATATATCTAAGTAATCTATAATTTGTTAGATTTCAGAATTTTAATAAAAATCACAAAAATTGAGATGCTCAGTTAACCTTTCAATGTTTTACCTCCATTTAAACAAGTATTGTCTGCACAAACATTATATTCACAACGTTGTCCAATATAGCCGCTATGGCATTTACAATGAGGACCATTAGGATCTAAAAAGCAAGTTCCCTAAAAAATAAAAATAATTTTATTATTATAAAAATAATTTTAATTTACTGTTAGATATAACTTACTTTAACACAGTAGTTATCACAGTCTGATTCAGTACATGATGGCCCTCTATATCCAGCAGTACACTGGCATTCACCATGACCAGAATCAGATATTATACATATTCCTCCATTTTTACAATCAATATTCACACATTTTTCGCAATTTTTACCTATAAAAATTAATTCAATGCTATGTAATACAGAATCAATTTAATTTTAAATTTTAAAATGAAGAAATGTATAAAGAAAAAGACTAAATAAATTAAAAATGTATTAATTATGGACCTGTAAAACCTGGTAGGCAGTCGCAAATATTGTCAATACAATTGCCCCCATTCCAACAACCGCCTGGACAACCTCTTGGAGGTACAGGAATATCACATCTGTCACCAGTCCATTTAGATGAACATTTACACTAATAAAATAATAACAATTGTATAATGATAAGTAAAATAATAGTAAAAATAACAATAGCACCTTGGCTATAAAATCATTTTCAGCATTTGGTCCAGGTTCTAAATAACAGATTCCTTTGTTGAAGCAAAATGTATGACATGAGTAATTATCACATGTTTCTCCAATAAAAAATGGGTCACATTTACAACTACCTAGATTAGATGTTCCATTTGCAACACAAACACCCATTTTGCATGGTGGTTCACAAATAAAAGATGGGTTTTGCTTAGGCACACATTTAATGTCCTATAAATAAAAATGATTAAAACTCTATTTTTTATAGATTAAATATGTTACTAACTGTAAATGTAGGAACTTCCATTTGGTTATCGGCACAAAGACAAGTTCTATTTTTTGGATTAGCACTCAAAACACATAATGCGGTAGAATGACATGGATTGATAACACAATAGTTAACCACTACAATAATAAAATATTTTAATATATACATACACTAAAATGTGAATACATATATACACCACTTACAGTCCTTTGGATGTTTATTCTCTTGTAATATAACTAAATCAGTAGCTCTGAAGATGTTTTTTGACAAAATTGTCATATTTTTATCTCCAAACTTACTTATTTTTACAATAGTAGTCAAAAGTGATACATAAATTGAATCTTCAAATAACTCAATATTAGTTGGATGTTTACCTAAATAAAAATTATAAATTATAAATTATAATCGGAATTCAAAAATTATAACAGGAAAAATAATAATTATCATTAGTATTGTTGTATTATTAGCACTAATACATATTCATACTAATGTTTATTATAAGTATTAAATTACAATCAGACTGTTGCACTTAACACAATTTTTATGTACAAACATTACATTATATCAGCAGTTCCCAAACTTTTGTTTCCGTGGTGCCTTTTTTTGGGCCCAACTTAGCCACGGTGCCCAGCTGTGAATAATATTTAAAACAGAACAAAAAAAAAAAAAAACTTATTGATAATCAATTTTATTAATTTTATTAAAATTTAACTCAAGTATAAATTAATGCATTTTTAAACTTAAAAAATAAATAAATAAAAATTATTGTTATTGTGATTATAATTATTACATAAAAATATTATAAGGTTAAAAAGAGAGTATCCGAAAATACAATAGAAAATATTACATTATTTGTTATAAATTTTTTACGGAAACAATAAGGAAAAACAATTTTATACATTTTAAACTATTTGTTATGAACCGTAGACCGCGGTACCCATAGAAAGTGGTCGTGGTGTCCCTAGGGCATTGCGGTGCACAGTTTGGGAACCGCTGCATTATATTATTTAAAGGCCTATCATATATATGTGTATTTTAGGTTGAATAAAATTCATTCTAAATTTAATCAAAAACTGAAATATATAATCTGACATTAGATTTGAAAACTAAGATAGATTTTTTCAATACCGATTTAATGTATTGGTTGATGTAAAATTAATTTTTAATACTACTTTAGAAATAATCAAAATACTAAAATAGTTGCAATATTTCAAATAAAAATTATTTTAAAAGTGTATTATGAGCAATGCTGATTTTATGAAGAATTTATATTTTTTTCAAATAAAATCAGAGTATTCTTGGAAAGGTAGTATTACAAATAAAATCCTGTTCGGAATAAAAATTACACTTGTAGTTGGTTTGTAGTTTTAAACGAGTGTTTAAACTCAAGTCAGAGTCCATAAAAATATCCACACAATGTGGTGCCTTAAAAATACAGATAAGTTTAATACGATTGGTGTATATACTGAAAAAAATTAAATAACACTTAATAATAAGAGACTCCTTAATAATAGAGAATTATAAAAATTTCAAGAAATGTATAAATATAACATGTAATATTAGGCAACTTAGGCATATGTAATCATCATTAACACAAATACTAAAACTAAATTAATATGAAAAAAAAAAACGCAAATTACCTTTAGGGAATTTATGTATAACCCTTCGTCCCTTCCCATCTAAAGAAACAGATTCTATAGTGTATGGTTTTGTATCAGACCAATACAATCGACGTGTAGCATAATCAATTGTTATGCCTGCTGGGCTTCGAACAGAATCACTAATAAATGTTTTTCTGTTAGAACCATCCATTGAGCATATTTCAATATGAGGTTTACGGCCTAAATCAGACCAATACATTGACCTAATAATAAAAATTAACACATCATACATATGAGACGGCTACACAACAAAATAATTGAATAAGTTATTAACAGAGCTCGGAAGTTATAGCACTAAAAATGTTACTTTATAGCTCTTAAATATGCACTTAAAAACTCTAAAATATGAGCTATAAATAGCACGAAAAATTAAAAAATATGCATTTAACTTGGAAAAAATGTAATTTTACAAATTGTTGGGCTCATTAGACACAGTCTGGACTAATTGAATTATAAACTGTTAACAAAAATGTTAAATTATTTAAATATATTAGTAAAAATATACTTATTATTAAATTATTTTATATATTTACCTTGGAAATTATCCTAGATTATTAAAATGTTTAATAATCGAATGCAATAATATAATAATGGAATAACAATGACGTCACTAATTATTAATACATCAAATTTTCGATGAAAACATAAAATAATATTTGATGAGGTCTATTTGTTTCCAATAATTAAAATATTTTTTAAAAAAATAACAAAGTAAATACAATTATTATCAACAAAATGTGATTATTTTGTACATTATGTGAAAATATACTAGAAAATAGCAATTAAACCCGTAAATATGCAAAAAATAGCAAAATTAAAAGTTGTGTATAATATCCGAGAAATGAGAAACATATTTGTATCTTATTTTGAATGTTCTAAGATCAAACAAGAAAAATATGCATTTGCTAGAACTTCCAATCCCTGGTTATTAAAGATAATCAGAAGGATTTTTATGTGGTTATTAACAATTTTAAATAAATAAATAATAATCAATATTTAATTTTTACCAAATTTAAATTAGATTAAATAGTTAGTCATGTTTTTATTATTTAAAAATAATAATTTTGAAATCACATCAATATTTAAAAATAATTAATTTTTAATTAATTTTTTATAAAATAAAATTATATCATACCCAGATTGAGGATCTAGTACAATGTTTTGAGGTTTACGATCTGCTTCAAGTTTTACTAAGGTCCTTATGTTTTTTCCGTCTACTGTAGCCACTTTAATAGCTTTGGTTCGATTAGAATTTTCAATCCAATACAAATTCTTTGAAATCCAATCAACAGCAATACTTTCAGGAGTACCATCAGTTAGGACCTAAATAGAAAAAAATAATATAGAGAAGTCTAGAATTATTTTTCAATTAAGAAATAAAATAACATAATTAGTAACTAACAATTTGTTTGATATTTGTCACATCCCGAGTGGTTCGATTTGATTTTTTAACCGGATGATCAATAACTGTAGAATATAAAGCTTTAGAATTATGATCACTCCAAAACAAATAAGTTGCATTAATTGTCCATAATATATCAATTGAATGTATTTTATGAGCTGGTAATGTAACAGCTGAGTAATTATATACATTTTCATGAGATTTATATGGATCAACAAAAAAAATATCTCCTTCATTACTAGCCACAACTAATAATGCTGAAACACCTGTAATTAAATAACTTTTAAAATAATCAAATATCAAAAAATTTACAAACAATTAAATTGATACATACCAATTGCCTGACATGATTTATTAGGGAGGGATACGCTATAACCAGGTGCACAATGACATGAATGAGTTAAATTCTTTTTGGGTACACAAATTTGAGAACATGTTCCAAATTGACATGATGATTTAGTTACATTACATAACTGCTCATCTGAGTTATCAGAACAATCAAAGTGTCCATCGCATCGAAGACGTCGATTAATGCATTGACCATTTGCACATCTAAATTTACTTGAATCACAAATTTGACTAGCACTTGCACCTTAATTAAAAGAATATTAAAATATTATAAACATATTTTACATAACTAATATAATTCAAATTACAAGAGATGACAAAATAAAAACTACACTAAGTTATTTTGCTTTACTTACCTAACTACTCATCAATATCAAATAATCAATAATTTATAACAATGATAAAATGAAGTTTATTTATCTTTGAAGTAAATCAAGGTAGTTTTATATTACAATTATTTAACCCTTTCAGACCTGAGTTTTTTATATATTATATTTATAATATATTATATATATATATTATATTTATAATATATTATATATATATATTATATTTTTTATATAACGGATTTTTATAATTTATGTTGTTGGGTTAAAATTTAATAATCAAATGGATATAATTTTTTATTTTTCTATAAGAAATATTAATGAGAAATTGCATTAAATTCTTCAGTTTTATTAAACCAAAATATCATCAACAGTTTACAAAAGAAAAAAAAACAACTAAGAAAACATGAAATTTTCAAATGTTTATTAATAGCTAAAAAAGTCAATTTTTTGAAAATATTTCCATACATTATCATACATTGGAAATTATAAATCTCCACAATTATTTTTTGAATCATCATGAAAAACATTTTATTATACACTGTACATTATGCCATTTTTTGTCATTTTTATCAATTTTTGCAATTGTTAAGAAAACTGTTGGAAAATTCATAAAATGACCCCTCGAAGAATTAACTAAACATTTCTTAGCTGAGACATCCTATGGTTATGATAAACAGAACAATCTTTATAGTTGAAATTGTGTACACAAATATACAAAAAAAATAATAGCATATATCATTGTCAAACCAATACATTTTCCATTTCACTCAGAACCTAAAAATGTAGTTTATGAATATTTAAATAAAACTTTAAATATTATACTTCAAAGTCAATTAAAAAGATTTATAATTGAAAATATATTCAATTTTATTATTTTATAGGGAAATACTCACATGCAATTTTTGTTTCATCGGATCCATCACCGCAATGATCAGAACCATCACAAACGTTAGTGTTAAATACACAATTATTATTATCACATCGATATTTTCCAGGTGGACAAGCAACTAATGCACACATAGTTCGATTTTCATCACTGCCATCAACACAATCTTCTTCACCATCACATCTATTTCCAAGTGATATGCAATCACCATTATTACAAACAAATTGACCATTACGACTAATTGAACATCCCTTTCCAACTTTATCTGTGCAATTCCACTCATCAGAACCATCAGGACAATCTTGATCTCCATCACATCGCCATTTTCTTAAAAAAAAAATTATTTTAAGTAATGATCAAAATATTTCAGTTATATTAAAAAATATATATTTATAACATACGGTGAAATACAATGATAAGAACCATTACAATGAAAGTCATCAGCACCACAAATTACATGTGATTCACATTCGTCCTCATCACTATTGTCTGAACAGTTAGATTTACCATCACATTTTTGACTGGCTGGAATGCATCGACCATCAGAACATCTGTTAATACACATATATTTTCAAATTTTTGAAAAAATTGATTTAACAAAATAATTTTCAAAACAATTTAATATTTTTCAATTATGATTATACACTTTAAAGTAAATATATTTATAAAAGCCTAGTTTAAGGGATGCCAATTGAGATAAAACAGATAAGGCTAATACTGGCAGTTACACTTTTCGAATAAAGTGGCCACTCAAAGAAAAGAAACCCCAACCAGTGGCAAACATTCAATTATACCAACATAGGTCAATTATATGCTAATAGCGACCACCCACCCACTCATATTAAAATAAACTTAATCGCACAATAATATATAACTATACACCATATATGCATGAACAATGATATAAATTATAATATTCACCAACACCAGCCCTTAAGATCTATAAAAATAATCATCACCCACAACCCAATTTTTTTAAGTCGACTAAACCTTGGTCTATAATGTATGCACTAATGCTCCTAACATCACTCTCACTTGGCATAAGTTTCACTCATACAAACACAAATACACGTTGTAATCAAAAATATGCAGCAAAGTTATTGATCTAATACCTGAAATCCACTAAATCAAAAAGTTCAAAACAAAAAAAAAGTGTAAGGTTTATCATATGGTTATTATAAGATATAAAAAATTATTAAATTATATTAAAAAATAATAATGAGGTATTCACTTTTTGAGGAAAACTATAGAATAACTATATTAAAAAAATTAATTTTCACACAAAATAGCAATAAAGTATAAATATTTTTGATGAGCATCTAAACACTACAAATTATTTATTTCCAATTACCTAAATTCATATTCTGAACATGTTCTTGGTGAACACCCAATTTCATCAGATCTATCGCCACAATCATTTTCGTAATCACATCGCCAACGACCTGGAACACATCTAGTAAAAACAATTGTTAATAATTACTTATAATGATTCAAAGGCAGTAATTAATTAGTCCAAATAATTAATAAAATAACTTAGTTATACTTCAAAAATCCTAAACAAAAAACAATTATGAGCAAATTAAGGTGTAAAAAATCTAAAAGCCATAAATATTTGTAAAAATAATCATTTTAAATTTTAAAACAAAAAACTATTAGAACAAAAAAAACTTTTACAGGCACTAATCAACAACATTTTTAAACTGGAGAAATAGTTTAGGTAGCTTATCATAAATAATCGATAAACCTCAATTTATAAATCATTTTCACTTCTTTTTTTATTTTATTTAATATCAAAACTACCAAAAAATAAATATTTAATCTATGGAACTACTAAGAAAATCATAAAATGGCTTTCATAAAGTACTATCTGAATTCAATTTTTATTTTATATTATGTTTTATTGAATTGTTGACAAAATATATATATATATATATATTTTATCTCTTAAGATTTTTAAAATATTTATCTAAAATTGTATTTCAATAAAAATTGAAAAAAAAATGATCTTTTTCTAAACAAAACTATTTTAAATAAACCTCAAATAATAAAGTTTAAATCATAAAATTAAGCCTTAGTAAATTTTATCAGGATGTAAAAAATTCAATGATAATAGATTATGTGTGTATATATATATATATATATATATACATTAATAATGTATAATGATTAATAATGTTTGCATTATTTATAATTGCACATAAAAATCAAAAACTACAATTACATCATACTTCCTAAGCCTTATTGATACATTAGAGATAAAACTAATGGAATATACTCATATTATTCTGTCAAAAATTGGGATGATATAATACATTTTTATAATATAATTTATGTATAATCAAATACACTTGTATTTTGTATATCCTTAATAAACTCAACATTTAAAATTATTTTCACTCACTATATTACATACCTTTGTATAAATAATACACTATAATATTATATACATGTATATACTTACTTTCCGTTAGCACATTTGAAATATGTTGGGTCACATGTAACATTAAAACAAGAAGGTGGTTCATCTTCCATATCAGGACAATCTTTTTCGCCATCACACATCCATGTTAAATGAATACAACGACCATTGTTACAACGTCTCTCATCTGAAGCACATGTTCTAGAAGTACAATTTTCTGGTTCGTCAGAAGTGTCACCAAAACCACAATCATGTTCCCCGTCACACATAAATACTTTTGGAATACACTTTCCAGTTATTTCACATTTAAACTAAAAAATTGAAAATTATATTCAAAATTAAAAAATAATAATAATAATATTCAATTTAAATTAATGTATGTTTTACCTCTTTTACGCCACATTTTTTCAGATTACAATCTTTCTCGTCTTCCCCGTCCAAACAATCATTGTGACCATTACATTTTAGATGATTTGGTATACATGTTGGTTTTGGTAACTTGCCTAATTGAGAACCATGTTGACATTTGAAATCCGTGTCAAAACATGTATACTAAAAAATTTATAAAAAAAATGTGTTATTCTTGTAAAGCACTAAACCAAAATTTCTAAATTACTTCACTAGTAACACAATTGCATCTTAAAATGTTATAAATGTTATTATTTTGTAATAAAAAAATTACATAAGTATAAAAAAAATATGAGTTAAATTAGGTAAATAGAAGAAAGTTTAAAATGTGTTAGAAAATACAATACATCATAATTTACTTTACATATTATATACTATTTTAATTACGTTTTCACAATCCTCTTCATCAGAATTGTCTGTACAATCTGGTATACCATTACACAATTTTGATGGATGTATACACTGATAATTTGCACATTGGAACTGTCCAGGTGTACAGTGGAAGTCTGTACAATTTTCAGGTTCATCAGAACCATCACCACAATCATCCTGAAAAATATTACGGTAATTAAAATATATTCCAAATACAACAAGTTATAAACTTACATGTTTATCACAATGCCACCAGAAAGGTATGCACTTAAATGTATTAGCACAAACAAAATGAGATGAAGAACAATTAGCCATGCAATTCATATTATCTGGTGCAAGAATAAAATCTTGAGGACATGCACATGTTCTTCCCAAATTAGGAGATAGAAGACACAAAGCTTTACACCCACCATTGTTCTTTTCACAAGGGTTGTATGCTCCTAAATTATAAAATAAAAAAATAATTACTAACTAAATTAAAAATACAGAAAAAACTATTCTTTATAAAACTTGATAATAAACCAGTTAATATAATATTTAAACACATTTTTACTAAATCCAAGAATATCATAAAAACAGTTTAAATTGTACACAGAAAGTTAAGATTTATAAACTATAAAATATAATCATAATAGATTTACTTGATGGTTGTAACAAAGGATGTACAACTTTTAAATCCATTGGTCTATATGCAAGTGATGTAACATTTTGACAATCATGACCTGAATATTTATGACATCTATGAATATTTTTTGTTTCCCAATCAGACCAATAAACAAAGTTTTCAAACAATGTAATTGCAAAAATATGATGTATATTAACAGAAGGATTCATTTCTAGAAAAACATTTCAAATATCAGTTAAATTTCACAAACAATTTTTATGAATGTTTTAATTATTAATTTACTTCTGCTTGCGATTACACGCATATTTCCACCATTCAAGTCACAATAAGCAATATAATCTTCTTTAGCATCAGCCCAAAAAAGTTCTTCTGTACTTAAGCTTATTGCTAAAGCATTTGGCCAACCCAATGATTCGTTCAATATAGCTTTAGGTTCACTACCATCCATTCCAGCTTTACCAATATAAGGCACTTCTCCCCAATCACTCCAATACATATATCCTCGAATAGGATCTAAACTGATAGCTCTAGGCTCTTGTAAACTTTTATTTATTAGAACTTTTCTAAATTGACCATTAAGCTTAGATACTTCAATTGTATCTTTGCCCTTGTCACACCAATACAAGTTTTTAGCAACCCAGTCTACAGCAATACCATCAGGACTGTATATTACTGGACCATGCAATCGCTAAAAACCATTAATGAAAAGGGTTAAAAAATAGAAAATATATTCATATTTAAAAATGTACCTTACCTCAACTAAATTATCCTTGCATTTTCGTTTAATTGTACTGCCTTGATTGGTTATGTCAGACCAATAGAAACAATTATCAGAATAATCATAATCAACAGCAACAACATTAGTTAAATTATTAATTAAAATTTCAGTTTCCATTCCTCGTAAATCAATCTGTTTAATATAGTGTTTACTTGCAAAAACTAACATTGGCTTCTCAACTGTAAAAAAAAAATAAGAATAAGGCATTTAATTGAATTTTTAAAACTTTGCAACCAGTTTTAATTTTCATTGATAAAAAATATAATTTTAAATATTACTTGTTGAAGCTTTACATGAACGACCATCTGGTAATAATGTATATCCTGCAGTACAATCACACTTAAAAGATCCAATTGTGTTGTAACATATTTGGCTACAAGGTTTTACTATTTCAGTAGAATTACATTCATTGACATCATGACACAATGAACCTACAGACTTATATCCAGGAAGGCATAAACACTCATAACCAACAGGATGATCTATGCATAATTGTTCACAAGGTCTAGATACTTTGGTAACATTTTCCAACATACACTCATTTATATCTAAAAAAATATTTATTTATTTTTTTTTTTTTTTTGTTTAATAGACAAATAGGAACAATGACATTTTCTATTTGAATAAAATTTTAGTAAATATTATCAGTAAAATAACTATATATAAAGAAATACTTACTACACTTATTTTCATCACTGAAATCTCCACAATCATCTTGTCCATTGCAAGTCAGATTTGCATCAATACATATTTTATTACGACATAAGAAATGATTAGGCCATGAACAAGATATGTCTCTATAATTTTCTAGAAGAATTTACAGAAATTACATAAAAAATTACACAAAAATATATTACTTATTTAATACTTACTGCACTCTTCTGTATGTACATTTTCATCAGAATTATCACCACAATCATTTTGTCCATTACAAACATCAGTTCGTAATACACAAGCACCATTTTCACATGTAAATTCTTTAACTGCATCACATATCTTACAATTATCAGGCTCATCTGAATTATCACCACAGTCATCATGACCATCACAATAATAAGCCTTATTTGAAGTAATTCAAAATGTTAATAAATATATGAATACATTTAGTTTATGATTTAATTACTTATTACAAGAACCCCATAAAAGATAGACATTTTGTTAATAAATGCATTGATTTGTACAGAAACTCCCTTTGTGCGTCTTATTTATTTATTTGTGTCTTTGAAATTTTTATTTAAAGTAGAAATTCTATATGTGACATAAATTAGGGGAATTTTTTATTAGTTTCTCAAACATTTTAAGTTCTGGACTAAATGGATTTTGTAATAAGCAATTTAATTACATTATTATAAAATATCTACCTCAAAAATGCATTTCTTATTAACACATTGAAATTTGTCCAAAGAACAAGTTGTACTGTTAAATATTTTACTACATCTTTCTTCATTCTCATCTGAACCATCTCCACAGTCATTATCTCTATCACAGATCCAAGCAGATGGTATACATCGACCAGTATTATTACAATGGAAATTACCTATTGGACAATTTCTACTTGCTGTAAAAAAAAAAAATTCTTAATTTGGATACAAAATATATTAGTACAAAAAAAATAAATAGCATACAACAATTTAAAAGTTCATCTGAACCATCAAAACAATCTGAAGCTCCATCACATTGCCATGAGACTGGTAAACATTCAAAAGTATCATCCTTGGTTTTGCATAAAAATTCAGATGATTTACATTTAACAGCTAAAACATAGGATCGTTTAATTAAAGAATTATTTTACATAAAAACCAATTCAAATTTAAAAAAAAATGCATTTAATAACATTAAATAGTTAAAAAATGTTTGTAGCTTTACTAGATAGTTATGCTTCAACTTTCCAAAACTAAATTTTTACATCCATCCATTTGTAAAATATTTCCATTAATTACAATTTAATTTAATAATCAATTCCAAAATAATTTTATCCACAACAAAGCCAACTATCCAATTTCTAGTACATTCATTCTCTTGACCTTATTTTCTTTATTTTTCCACTAATAACTGTATTTTCCACTCGATCAATACACACCCGACAATTTCCAATCTTAAGCAAACTGTAAATAATTGAACATTTTTGTACACCTCCATTAATTGGGAATTTGATTTTATTCTCTGATTTTGTTCCACACAAAAAAAAAAATAAATATACATCATGATAAAATTAATTCTTCTTCTTCTTCATAATTTATTAAAGGCCATTAAGGCCCATTATCGCACCACAAATTTGCTTCCACCTGTCTCTATCCTGTGCTACTGCTTCCATATCTTGTATTCCAATTAAAACTAATACTTTATCTACAACTCTTATTATCTAGATCAACTGAATAATCTTAATAATCAAAAATATAAGACATTTATGTAACATCTATAAAAACATAAATTATTCAAAACCCAATACACTCAATCATATTAACAGAATAATTATTTACAACTACGCATAAAATGAAATCCTTTGTACTATCTGTGCATGATTTCTTCAGTAACTACTAAATAGATTATATTTCAATTTCAATGATGAAAAACTTTTTGCGAGGATAGTGTATAATTAAAAAATAATTTGTTAAAAACCATTTAAAGTAAAAAAAAAAAAACAACTCTAACCAATTTCTATGTAAATTATAGAGCAGTATTTAATTTTCATTAGAAAACACATTTTGTTAGTATAATGAAAGGTTTTAGTGACAAAGTTAAACAGATAATAATAGTATATATTAGGATGTAAAGCAATAAAATTTAAATTATTTTTGGAAAAACCTTAAAAAATATTGATAATACTATGTAAAATATATCTAAATTAAATAATAGCATATTCATATTCAAATACAGAAATATTTCCCATCAAAAGTAACATTGGATAAACTTATTAGTGAATATATAATTAGACCCAATTCAATATTTTAATATAAATATTATTATATCAAAAATATGCAATTTAAAAATAAAAACATAAAAAATTAACAAATAAATAATTCATTTTTTACTGTATAACTACTTACGACAATTTTTTTCATCCGATGGCAATGAAGTATTAAACGAATCACCACAATCATCATCACCATCACATTTCCATGATTTTGAAATACATTTACCATTTGAACATTTAAATTCGGTAGATAAACAATTGTTTTTCATAGGAACTAAATCTTTTACTAATAAAAAAACTTCATAACTATTTGCAAAAAAACTAAATAAATGTATCAAAATCTTACTGAATGAGCAATTTTGTTCATCACTATTATCCCAACAATCATTTTGACCATCACAAATCCAACTTGGATGGATACAAGCAGTAGTTGTATTACAATTTATTAAGGTAGCATTCAATAATAAATCTTCACAAATTTTAAGGTCTAAAAATAATTAAATTAAAATATAAAAAAAAATTATACTGCAGTCAAGGAATAGTAGTTTAACATTTAAGAGAAATTGAAAATATTACAAGTCAATTAGCTTTAAGAGGTTAACCTTGATTATATTTAGAAATAATGAGAAATACAGAGTGATCGAGAATTCGCGTATTGTATTACATTTCTTTTCTTTTTTTTTTTTTTTTTGATGCAAATTCAAAAAAATATTCAAAATTAATTTATACATATGCATTGTGAGTGTTTTACAATACATACTCAAAATGGTTATGTTGTCATTAATACATGCATGAACACGTTTAATCACTTTTTTAACCACTATGTGGAGTATATGCTAGTACTGATTAACTTAATCTCCATTTTTTTTTTTTTGTTACTCTTCAGTTAATCCAATGTTTGTGGTCTATTTTTATAAACCCTTTCTTTAAAATTACCCCATAGAAAGAAATCTGGGTCTAAGATTAATTTAATCAATGCTAGTATACTCCACAAAGTGGCTATAAACAAGATAAAATGTGTTCGTGCATGCATTAATGAACAACATAGCCAATTTGAGTATATATTGTAAAACACGCATAATAAATATTTATAAATTAATTTTCAATATTTTTTGTATTTGTATCTATAAATAAAAGTATAAATAATTCGATAAAAATACTATTTACAAATACATTTATTTTGATGTGCACGACTTCTTAATCACTCTGTATTATAAGAAATTTCCTAATTTATAACATTATAACTATAAGTCATCAAAATTTGATATATCTAGGATTACCAACAGAGTATTATAATAAAATAAACAAATAGTATTAAAAACTTTAAAATTTTAATTTCACAGATTATATAAATTGTTAAAATAAAATAATCATCTGAGAAATTATAAAATAATTTATAACATTTATTGTATATTTAAAATATGATTTATCAACACTAATTAAAATTTAAAAAAAAACTCACATATAACATAAAACTTTACTATATTTTTTAATTATAAATAAAATTATTTTTCTTACCACAACCCATTTCATCACTAGAATCAGTACAATCCGGATCACTATCACATCGTAAATTTGAAGATATACATTCACCAGATTTACATTGAAAAAAAGATTCTGGACAAGAACAGTTTGTTTCATCGAAGCCATCAGGACAATCGAAATTTCCATCACATTTTCGATCATTAGGAAAACATCGATTTGAACAAAAGAAAAATTTATCAGGACAAGATCTTGTAACTAAAAATTTATAAATAAATAACATTAAATATATAAATAAAAATTTTGAAATTATTTGTTAAAAACTAGTTTAATGAACTACTAACCACAATAATTAATATCTTCATCAGATTCGTCTTGGCAATGATTTATACCATCACAAGTATTTTCAAAAGGTATACATTCATTTGATGAACATAAAAACTCATAACTTGAACAATTTTTTTCTGGTTTCATATCAACACATCTTTTTTTGTCAGGTAAAAGTATGCGTTTATCATGACAAGAACATTCTATAGTACCATTAATATCCAATTTACATAAATCCTCACAGCCACCATTAAGTACATTGAAACATGGATTTCTATAGCCTAGGAACAAAATAATAATAAAACATATAAATTATTAATTAATACTAATAAGGATTCTGAGAAATAAATCAATAAGAATATTTACAATCATTAATATTCTCAGCAACTGCTACAATTCCCATAGGTCTAGTGACATCTTTTCTTAACCATACAACATTTTCACCAGTATATTTGTCAGCTCTTAAAACTCCATGCAACATCCAATCAGTCCAAAAAAAATAATCACCAAATACAGCAATATCAAATGGATGTTGTGGATACAATTCAGCAAGCACCTATTCATATATTTATAATTATAAATTTTTGATCACGATTTAAAGATTATTATGAAAATACCACACGATTTGTTCCATCATATTCGCATCGCTCAATTTTATCCAATTTAGCATCACCCCAATAAATTTTTTGAGCCAGATGATCTAAAGTAAGAGCATTTGGAATCTGAATATCAGTTGTTATAATTGACTGTACCATGAATCCAGAAACAAAAGCTCTTTGAATACTAGGTTTTAAGTCATTCCAATTAGTCCAATACATGAGTCTAAAAAACAAATTTATAATAAAAAATTAGCATATAATAATATTATACATCTACAATTAATATAGTTATTGAATTTATACGGCTAATAAAAGGCAATGATGAAACTCATTAATAACAAATATCTCAATAAATTATTATTCATTAAGGCAAAATAGAAGAAATTAGTCATAAAGAGCATGTAAACAAAATATGAACTTCAGAAATCCAATATCAGTGAAAAAACAACTAATTATGATATTATAAATATTTTAACTACCAGTTAGGTAAAGTACTCTTTTTATAGTTTCATTTATCTATTTAAAATGTCTAAACAAGTAATTTTCAATATAGTATCAGAAGTCTGCAACACATTGGTAGGTTTCCAATTATTCTTTAATCCCCCTGTAATTATATTGCTTGGAAAACAAATTTTTATTTAAACATATAAATATATTATATTATACAATACATATTACATAACATTTTTATAAAATTTGTACAAAATGTTAAATAAATTTATTATAAAATAATATTGTTATTAGCCATGTTTATTTGATGTGAACGCGAATAATTAAAATGAATTATTATTAATTTTTCAAACAAATTTGAACATTGAATATGTTAATTATTTTTTTTTTTTTTTTTTTTTTTTTAATTATAATTGATATTTTGATAGTATAAATATTGATTATAATTTATAATAGAGATGTAATGTATATTCAAATAATCGAATTATTTAAATATTCAAACATTCGAATATTCAAATATTCAAATTATTTACACAAGACCTATTAGAATTAGAATATTCGAATACTTGAATAATTTCCATCACTGATTTATAAATAATTAAATTGCTTATTCAGGAAATTTTAAAATTATAGTATTATTAATAATGTATTAATATATAAAAATATGTGTGTTTTTGTTGTTAGTTCAAATCATCAGAGACATTTTTAATCATTCATTTGTGGTAATCAAAAATTTACTTACAATCCACATATGTCAACTGCTATACCACGTGGTCTATCTGATTGTCCTAATTTTAAAATAACTTCGGGAGTAGAATTTGCAATACTTAAATCAATTCGAGAAATGGATGCAAAACTATTTGTCCAATACAGCATATTCTCTTTCATTTCATAATCAATACCTTCAACAGATCCTTGATCTACATTATGAAAAAAAATAAAATAAAAGTATACAGATTTGAAATTTACAATTTGAAAATAATATATTTACGTTCTGCTATAACTCTATGTCCTGTATCATTAAAATGAATAGCATCAATAGTACCACGTTGAATATCTGAATAAAACAATAAAGATCGTTCATAATCATATGATAATGCGATAATATTTTGCATAAATTCTTTTGATTGTAAAACTCGAAATGGTGTGTTTATATTTGTATTATTTGATATAATAATACTATCAATTTTATCCACACCAGAATACATAAGAAATGTAGAATAATCTAGAAATATAAATGTAATATATATTATGTACAATTTCTTATAATATTAATACAAATAATGAAAATAATTAAATATAGATACTTATTTATAGTTAATACCTTTACATGTTTTTCCATCAGCACTCACAATACCATGGGCACATGCACAAACTCCGTGAGTTCCATTAAATAAACATAATTCTTGACATCCTCCATTATGCTTATGACAAATATTAGTTCCTTGATGTCGATCTTTTGAAAATATTTGTACATCTTTGAGATGTTCACCAAATTCTCGTATTAATTCCTCAGAAGCAGATATATTATTAATGGGCGAAACCATTAACGATGAAAACTCTTGCTCTTGCATACTGTAATATATTTTTCAAGTATAAAATGCATCACAAAAATTATAATAATTGAAACTTACACTCCAAGCCAGTATATATAACCATTATGTACTACAACACTTGCTGGATTACTATGTTCATCTTCATACAAAATTTCATACTCTGTACCATCATAATTACATCGACCAATTAAACTTTGTTGGCAAAAATATAGCTTATGATTCTGTTTTAAAACATAGATTAATTAATAAAATATTAAAAATAAAATAAAATTTAAAAATTAGTTAATGGTTAATTCTTGTAAATTAATATATAAATAAACAAATATTTTACACATATAGAAATAAATGAATAAATAAATGCTTATTAGTCTGGAGTATTATTATATTCGTAAAGTACAACCAATTTTGAATTCAAAATTCATCATCAGGTATAAACGAAGTCAATAAAATCACAACTAAATATACTCCAAACTAAGCATTTATTAATTTGTTATTAACTTATAAATGGATTAATTATTAACCATAAAAATAATTTAACAGTAAACAACCTACAATGTAATCTAATGTAATATCTTCAATATAAGGTTGATCTTTGTTAAGTAGTATACTCTTCAAATTTTTTCCGTCTAATGTAGATCTTGAGACTCCATGATAACGTTTAATACTCCAAAATAGAAAACCAGCAACAGGATCTACAGCCAAAGAAATGGGTCGCTCAGGGGTATCTCCACCATCAAATACCACATAAGCATTAGATCCATTAAGATGAGCTACTTGGATAATATTAAGAGTAGGATTTGCCCAGTATATATGACCAGAAATCCAATCAATAGCTATTCCTAAAAAAAAAAAAACACATTTTTGATAAAATAAAATATTTAAGTATAATTAAATTGAATTATACCTGCTACCCAAGTACCCAATGTTATTTCCCCAGAGTGTTCATGGTTTATAATTATTTGTCTAGAAGTTCCATCACGTTTTATTCTCATAATGGTTCCTTGCTCATCATCAGACCAATAAATATAATCTAAAATATAATAAATTATAATAATGATACAAGTATAATTAATTTTATATTACCTTCATAAAAATCAATACTATATGCCATTGATGATTTTGACAATGGACTTAAGACTTGTTGTGAATCATTTTTAACCAAAGATACACCTTTGATTTCTGACTCAACTGTATATAATAAAAATTCATTGACACCAATACATTTTTTTTTATCTTTTGGATCAACAATAAAACCCGTAGCACAATGACAAACACAATCATCAACAGAAATTGGTAAACATAGATGAGAACATAATCCTTGATTTTTAGAACAACAATTAATACCAATTTGTAAAGATGGATCATATATACTTAATGCATAGACATCTGCAAAACATTAATATGTTAAATGATACTATCAACCAAATAAATAAATCATGCATAACAAAGTTAATGAAATTTTAAAATATTGCAATTTAGGTGTATACCTGCACTTATGTTACGAAATACTGAATTTCCATTACCAGTAATTTTATTTGCAACTCGAATATTCATTAATTTGTTATCTACATAATATATGCTATTTTTATATAAAGCAATAGATGATGGAAAGCTTTCTTCTGGTAAATTTAAAGAGGGGTTTACTTTAGAATCTTGAATACTATAAGATTGTATAGAATGTTTATCAGAATTCACCCAGTAAAGTGTATTTGTTTCCTGATCAATAGTTAAACCTGAAAATAAAATATGGTTTAAAAATCAATATGATTTTGTGTAAATAAGATTGTAATTGTTTAATAATAGGTACTTTATTTCTTTCCAAATAAAATTATATTTTGATTATTTTTAACAACATTAACCAATAGGTTACTTTAATTAAGATTTTATCTTTGATAACATATAAAGTTTGTTATTTATTCTAATCTAATAATACTTAAGATTTGACTGAATTAATATTATTAGAAAATTAATTACCATAAAACAATAACTAATAAAAATTAATGAAATTCAATACAATGGCAATGATTTAAAAAAATTAATTGATGTAGAATGATTAATTTATTAATTATAACCCAAATAATTGTATACTTATTAAATATTAAAATTATATGAAAACTAAATATAAGTATTTTAAATATGATTTTTTTTTTTTCATTATTTTCAAGTATGTACATTTTGTACAAAATCAAAAACCATTAAACATATACCAAAAATATATTAAAAATTAATAAATTAATTTAGAAAATTGTTAAAAATTAAATCAAACATAAAACTAAATAATTAATCAAATTTTTAATAAATAATATATGAATAAATACTTACTAGTAAATCCAGGCACAAAAGGTATTATTTTTTCTGTGAAGATTATTGAATAAGCTAATGCATTCATATCAGACATTATAATATTATGATGGCCACTTGCCATTACATGAGCCCAAAACAATTTGCCTTGTTGCGGATGTACAGCCAATGACCCAATTTGCACAGTTTTATTGGTTTCTTCATCATTTAAATCACTAGAATATATAGTGGTAAAATATTCACCATCCAGATTACAAGCTATTATATTTTTAGAAGTGGTAATATTTTCTTCTGCAAATGGATTTTGATCTGAACTAACAGCAACAAATATATTTTTGGATATCCAATCAATAGCAAATCCATATGGTTGATGAATTCCTGAAAAAAATTATATTCTTTAATAATTTTGATTTATGGACAACAATATATTTTTAAGTAAAATAATGAAAATTAAATACCTGTATCTAAAATTACTTCAATATTTCCACCAGATAAGCTAGATCTTTTTATTTCATTATTTGAAAAATCAGACCAATATATTTTTTTATCAGCTGCTAAATAATTTATTTGAACATGCAATAAAGTTAGAGAGTCATAAGACAGTAATGTTGGAATTGTATTGTAATAAGGTTGTTCTAAATTTACTCCACGAATTTCATTAGTTTGTGCAAATAACAAAACAATTTCATTTACTAAAATAAAATAATTAAAAATTAATGCTTAAAAATAATATTATTAAACATTATTTTAAATTTTACCAATGCATGTATGGTTGTCCTTAGATAATCGCATAACATGTGGACAGTCACACTTATAAGTAGAATTAATATTCAATAAACATAGATGTGAGCAATTTCCATTATTTATTCCACAAGGATTATATTGAACTAGATAATAATGATAAAAAAATTAAAATAATTAATCATGTATAAAGTAAACAGTATATAGACTTAGGTTAATTTCAAGAATTAAAACCAATCAATATTAAAAAAAAAAAAACATACATAATAACTTCATATTATGAATGACTAACAGAATTTTCAGACCTACCCCAAGAAATATTTTACTATTTTTTAACTATTATAATTAAGAGCAATTACTAATTTCATATAAAAAAAATATAGGTTTAAAAAAGCATTGAAATGTTCAAAAGATATTTATTTATATTTATCTATTTTATATTAATGTATCAAGTACAATAAATATTTCCTAGGTAACTAAAAAGTGAAAAAATGTATACATTTTACTAAGAACCCAAAATTGTTTCAACCCTCAAAAATACGATTTTCGAAATAATCAATATAGTATTTTTAGCTGTACACTGATCAGTTAGTGAGTTGGTGGTATTTTAATTTTATATACCTAATAATATAACTAGATACTTCTAGTATAATATATTAAATGTAATAGGGAAAATGTGAATCTCATAGGTTGGGTCAGATATAAAGAGAGATGAATAATAATTGCTGTATTGATCTTTTAAACTAGAAACCAATGTATTATTGTTTTTGAAAAAACGAAACGAAGTAAAAGAAATCAGAAAAATCAGTTTTATTTATAAATATGGTTGATACAGTAATTAAACAAATTTCTTAGTAACGTAGGTTGAACTTTTGTCCTTACTTAAAAAAAAGGAATATCTTGGTAGATAGAAAAATAAATTACATTAAAATGTGATTATGACCTCCTTATTATTATCAAAACATAGCCTATTCAAATTTGGAGGAAATTAAAAATTTCAAGAACTATAAAATACAAATTTTAATAAAATATTTTGAAAATTACCAAATATCTATAAAATGCTAATTAAATGCTAAAATAATCGATAAAAGTTATGAGTTGCTAAGACTAATATTTATATAATAATAAATAAATAATTAAATAACTAATATCGTACAATTTTAATTTCTTAAAATACCTATTTCTGTCAATATTTCATTTTCAAGCTCATTTTTTTTTTAAATTAAGCTCATTTTTTCTCATTAATCAGTTAGATATATGAATGAGGAACTTTGTATACAATTTCTAAGACTTTTTGTCAAACCATTATTAACATCGTCAATTTACAAAAAAAGTTAAGAAAACATGAATTTTGAAATATCAATAAATAGCTCAAAAAAAGTATACATTTAAAAATTATACAATTTATAACAAACAGAGATATTCAATGACAGTTTCAAATTTGTATTGTTATTATTTATTCAGTAAAGATGAAAACAAAATTTAATTTTGTAGATAACCAATAAGCCATACATTTTGTCGTTTTATTGACATTTTTTATCATTTTATGAAATTATTAAAAAAAATTGTAAAGAAATTCGTAAAATGACTCCCATCAAAGAACCAACTAGTCAACATTTTCAAACAAAAACCTCCCATGAATGTGATTATCTGAGTAATCTTTCTAATCAAAATCATAGACACAAAAATAGAAACACATTTTAGTAAAACCAATAGCTTCCTCATTTCATTCAGAAAATAAAACAAATAGTGTTACAAACTCCTAGTTACAAACACCATAATATTAAAATTATTATTATTATTATTAATATTATTTCTATTATTATTATAATTTATATAAATTTGTTAAAATTGGGAATTAGAAGACGTGGGGTTAAACCCTGAATAAGCTTGTTTGCTTGGATGATTGACACCACCCAGCAAAGAGAAACCAATCGTTTGAACACTGATCTTTTATATAGACGTTTCAATTTCTTTAGTTTTTACATATATTCAATTACCGCAACTCACAATAAAGTATCTAATAGTTTAATCTCTTTATGTTGTTAATTCATTTCACACCTAAACTTTATTATTTCCTTTGTGGCAACTTCTGAAATTATGAACTATTACAAAAGTCAATGGACTAAATTGTACTGCCTCATAACAATAGTAATACGGGCAATGAAAGAGCTTCTATGAGTTAGCCCCTTTCTTTATATACACTACTGTTCAGAAACATGACATATAACTGTATATGAGTCTAAGTGAAACAATTATTTCTTTCCAAATTTTACCATATACGATCTTCAAAATTAACTTCTGAATTATGAACAGTAATTTGAGACATTTTAGTTTTTTTCATGTGTGTAAAATCAATTTGAGATAATTTATTAAAAAAAATATCTATTGTTAGAACAACACAATTGATTCTAATGGAAATAGCTATTACAAAAGAAGCCTTAAACATTAATTAATGGATGGAATAAAAAGGTGCAGATACAAAAACCACAAGAAAACCAAAATTTCCAATCGGTCAAGCAGCTATTTAACAAGTCCAAGGGACCCAAGGTGAATGTGTTTGTGGGCATATCAATTATGTTAAAAAATAATATAAAAATAAAAATAAAACCTATTTTTTAAAAAAACTAACATAAAATAATGTATATAAGACACCAATTAAATTTTTGTTGAATTATGATGATGATACAATTTTTCATGATTTTTCTAATACTATTTACTAAGAAATATGGGTGACAAAATAACATAATATAGTATAAGATAATATAAAATTTTTTTTCCCAACTATTTGGAGTCAACCAACCTTGTCCTAAACCTCCACTCGTCTTGATTTTTTATACCCCCTATCACACACCAACCACCCTCATATCATTTTCAGTTGTATTGTATTGTATATTAATAGTAACACTAATAAGGTTAAACTATTTGAAAGATCTTTATTGAAAAGACTCACATACTCACAATTAATGCTAATTTATTTACACTAGCAAGAAACACAGATATTCAAAATAGAATTCAAAATAAACACCTAATCTGTAAGCTTAAAAATAAAACCTTAATTAAGTCGATAGAGGATATCACGTAAGTGATATCTCTCAATCAGTTATGACTAATTAAATGTATTATAAGTAAATTTTCATATTCAATAATTTAAAAGTAAACACTAAATAATTATTTTTAAAGTAAAAAATTGTATATACAAGCATTTTTATACAATACACAGTATATGTCTATATAATAATATTAATAATTCATATATATCATATTGAGATAAGTGGAAATTGCCTAAATGTTAATATCTTGTATACAAATTATATTTAATCATCATGTTTTATACTTTTAAGATAAAAAATTATAAAAACATTGAATAATTGTATTATTCACGTTTATAGGACACAAATGTATGATATACTAAATAAATACAATATATGTCATCAATCATTTAAATTACTAATACTTTAAATAATGGGTTTTAGACATTTAATACTTAACAACTGTCATATATTAAACTTTCAAAAAATAAATCTTCTATGTTAATTAAAGATATATATTTACCTTTCGGTTGCCTACTAGGATGTAATATCTTCACATCAAATGGTTGTGTCACAGTATGTTGCACAACAGTAACATTAGAACCTGTCCATTTATTAGCTTTATTTACAGAGTTACTTCTCCAATCAGTCCAATAAACATCATTTTCAAAAAGAGTAATAGCAAATGAATGTGAAAGAAGCTCATGTCCCATTAATATAAGATGATGGCCATTGCCGTCATAATCTACTGTATGTATAGAATCTGATCTAAAAATATTTAATTAAGATTATAATAAGCACTCAGAAAACACAATTTTTTTAATTTAAATTTTACTTGGCATCAATCCAATAAACACGATTAAGTTCATAATCTAAAGTTAATCCATTGGGCCATTCACCATCTGTAAGCCGGCTCACATAAACAATAACTTTACGAAATTCACCCGCCATACTGCAACGCTCAATTCGAGGTGCTGAAGAATCCCAATCAGTCCAAAATAAATAACCAAGTCTTGGATCTAATGCAATAGCTCTAGGATTTTCTATATCCCCAGCAATTAAACTTCTTCGATAACTTCCATTTAGTTTTGCTACTTCAATTTGATCTAAATTACTTTCAACCCAATAAATATTGCCGGCTACCCAATCGACAGCAAGCCCTTCAGTTGTTGTTAAGCCATTTTGAACTATAACTTCAACATCAGTTAATGCTAGAAATCAATTATTAAAACATAAAAACGTGATTTATTTTTATATTTTAGTATTATTAAAATATATATTTTATTCCTTGACATACATCCACCAATCATTCTGCCTTTAAATATTTTATCATCCATAACATCAGTCCAATATAGAGTATCAGTTCCATCTTCAGCATGATAAAAGTCTAATGTAACAGTATTTTTCAACCCAGAAATTAATGATTTGACATCCCTAGTAACTAAATGGATTTCACGTATTTCGTTTTTGTTACTAAATATAATTTTTGGCATAGTATTATCTGTAAAATCAAAATATCTTTAATATACTTAACAATTATTTTTATAATACATTTAATTGAATATTCAAATATACCTGTACTTTTACAGGTGAAATGATCTGTAGCTAATAAGTAGCCATCATTACAAGTACATTTGTGTTTATTTTTACCAGTTTCTATACATTTCTGAGAACAATGTCCCCAAGTGTCACAAGTTGAACACGTTACTCTATCATGTTGAAGTGTCATATTTTCAGGACATGTGCATACAAAACCATTTGGGCTATTATTACATCCATGTGAACAATCAGATGCTATTTCGCATAATTTTAAAGCTAAAAATTAATAATTAATTAATTTTTTCATCTCACATTTTATTAAAATACATAAATACAAAAATCTTACACACAAATAAATCCAAAATAAATATTTTATAATACTTTATTTAAAAAATGATAAATAACTACAATTAATGTTAAAATAAAACATAAATATAATTATATTTAACTTATAGATTATAACATTGCAAACTTACCACATTGTCCACCTTCATCTGAACCATCAATACAATCATTTTTATCATTACATAACATGTCTGCCTCAATACAGATTGTGTCATTATCGCAGAGATGATAAGGATAAGAACAATAATCCAACTTTTCTATTGTATGAGAATGACAATTTTCAAAAGCACAAGTTTTAATTAATGCTAAAAAAATATAAAATTTATAAGTAAATTATTCTATATAAATCAGAGTTAATTTTTGAAAATAAATAAGATCATATAATATATAATATAGAGTAAACAATATATATAATATAATTTATAATTATAAGTAGTCATATAATTTAAATATTCAAAAGTATTAAAGTCTGCTACTTCACATAAATCTTACTTAGAGCTTTAAAGCCTTATTATATTGTTAAACAATACTTTAAAAAAAATGAATAAATATTAAATAACAAATAAAATTCATAATAAGAAGATATTAAGTATATATAATTGACTGTCTGTAGGTCCAGAATTAGAATAGATCTACGTTAACTTCTGCTTCATCGTAAGAGGCAATTAAAAAAAAGGTAGCGGAGAGAAGTAGCAACCACTACTATCGACAATTATCAAGTTTTGTAATAGAATCAACAGCAATGGAAAGGTATAGTGAAAACAGCTTGAAAAAACTACTTCATTAACTTTCCTGAGGATAATGTTAAAATGATTGTAGTAGAGGTAAGAGCAGGTAAGGAATTTAAGAGATAAAATAGTACCTTATTTGTAATTATGAAAACAAGATTGGATCTTAAAAAGTATACAAGAAATCAACTGACAAATAAAAAATTATGTGTAGAAAAATTTAAGCAGCAAGAAATCAGAAAAAATTATATGAGGAAGTAAGTAGAATAATACAAGTGAAACAAATAGAAAAACCAAGAAATTGTGAGGAAACATGAAAAATGTTTAAAGAGGCAGTCATAAAACCGGCTGATAAGAATTTAAGAAAAATTAAGAATAATTCAATAAAGGAATTGGTAAGCACCAAACAATAAAAATTAATAGAAGCAAGAAAAAAATAGAAAAAAATGAGTACAAAAAATACAGAAACGTGATAAACAAAGAAGTTAGAACAAATAAGGAATGGTTAGAAATATGTGCTGATCTTTAAACAATTTTTTAGCTAGAGGGTTAAGAGATAAAGTATATAAAATTATAAAACAAATTTTTGAGACATACAAAGTGGAGCAAAAGTTCTTCGAAAAAAAGATAGGAAAATTGTTGTGGAAGATAGAGAAAATATTTTATTTTGGAAGGAATACATAGAAGAGTTATACAAAATAGAAAACACTGACAAAAGGCACAGAACCCCAAAAGCGGAAAATGAAAATCATGACTCTATTGAACTTACAATCATGATGAAAGATATCAAATTAGCAATTAAGGAGCTGAAACTTAATAAAGCCCTTGGAATTGATAATTTAAACAGCAAACTTCTGATAGCTTTAGAAAGAATTGTAAAAGAAATTTCTATAATAACAAATGTCTATGGAACAGGTAAAGTGCCTGAAGAATGTATAATAATACAAATAATAAGAGGGTTAAATGTCTGTGAAATATCTAGTTTTGTCAATATTCTATAATCTAAGTTATTTTAAGTAACGTAAAAAAATATAATTTTATTGAAAACTGGTTACCAATACATTTTTAAATAGGACAGATTTTCTCTCTTACTTAAAAATAAAAACTGTAGTATTGAGAAAAATAACATTTCAAATAGACAAAATCCGCTATCATAAAAAAACTAATTTAAAATCATAACTATCTCTTTAGTTCACATTTTGTTGACAGATATGAAAAATTAATAATAAAACTTATTATGTTAAAACCAAAACATTTCTTGCTTCACTCATATCATCAATTATGTCTATACATAGTATCACCATAAATTAAGAGTAAAAATTGTATACTTTAATATTTAATAACCCAGGTTAAATAAAAACTTACAACAATTATGTTCATCACTACCATCAGGACAATCTGGTAAGCCATCACATACATAATGTTTATCAATACACAAGTCAGTAGAATTAGAACATAAAAATTCATTATTAGAGCATGTATAGTAAGTATTGTTTAATGCATTAGTGCAATTTAATTCATCTGTGGCTCCATCACAATCGACTATTCCATCACATTTTTTTGTTAATGGTATGCATATATTATTTTTTGTACAAAGAAACTAAAATAAAATAAAAAAAAAAAAAACATTAATATTAATAAAAATTGAGCTTAAATACAAAAACACTACAATACTAAATTAAATGAAGAATCTAGCTTACTTCACCAGAGCAATTAGAACATTTTTCTTCATCTGAACCATCACCACAATTATCTTCTGCATTGCATACATAATCATATGATATACAATGTCCATTTTTACATGTAAACTCAAATTGTTGGCATGTAGTTTCTAAAAATATATTTAATCTTAACTTTTTAATATTCCAAAATTAGTTTGTTTAATTTTCATAAATAAATACATATAAAATATATATGTAATAAGTATTGTAGTTACATAATTACTTAAAAAATGTTAATAAAAAAATTGAACTAAAAATATGATTATATTACAAATTAAATAAATGGTATACCACAGTATTGATGTTCATCTGATGTGTCTCCTTCTCCACAATCAAATGTGCCATCACAAACCCATGAATGAGGAATACATCGTCCAGTAATTGCACATGCAAATTGTGATGCTAAACAAGATTCACAAAATTCAGGATTTTCATCACTTTTATCATCACAATCATTTTCACCATCACACATCCAGAATTTTAATATACATTTATTACCATCACATGAAAAGTTTTCTTGAGCACATGTATGGTTGGCTAGATAAATAAACATATTTTATATTCGAAATATAAATTTGAAATAAATATAATTCTTACAGCAAGGACCAATTGAAGTATCTTCATCAGAACCATCTCCACAGTCATTATCACCATCACATATATATTTATTTGATATACACTGTTTACTAGTAACACATTGAAATTCATTGGTGGCACAGACACTGGTAGGTTCATAACTAAACTTGACACATTCTTTTTTTTTATCATCTGTAGCTTTTAACACATAGCCATCATTACATATGCAAACTGGTCCATTGGGTGTAGACATGCATAAACCAGGACATAAATCCAACTTTTCACACCAATATGGGGAAGTCTTAACTATAAAATACAATATAAAATTACAACCATAATATGAGAATTTCAGTTTAATTACATTTAGCTATTTGAAATTATAATTCAATTATTTTAAACAATGATAAATAAATCATTGTAAAAAAACGAACATTAATACAAAAACCAAAATGTATCAATCACCACCACACAAATATTTGTATTATATATTTCTTATACTAAATTAAAATACAGGTCTTAAAATCTTACCTTGAGCTTCACTATTATATATTTTTAATGTATAAAGAGGAACATTTTCAATTCCTAATATTTCTTCAGATTTGTTTACTAAATTATAGCTTTTTACCATAACTTCTGTACCATTAGTTTCAGTCCAAAACAATAAATTGTTGTATAAAGCAATTCCGTATGGATAAGGAGTTGATCGTTTAATAACTTCTCTGTTGTTACCATCCAAATCAATACGTTCTATTTTGTCATTATAAACATCTGACCAGTACAATCTTCTAGTAAAAAAATCCAAAGTAAGACTTATTGGCCATTGAATATCTACATTTACAAAGCTTGTTGGATTAACTCCATTCATCCAAGCTTTTTCAATACTACCGCCTGATCTAGTAGAATCACGAGGCCAATTTCCCCAATACATGAAACTTAAAAAACCACAAATCAAACGTTATTAATTAATTAATTATCTAAGACTTATTAATTTTGACATACCCATTTTTAGGATCAAGCACAATTGATCGAGGATGATATTCTTTATCAATCATTAATACTTTCTGTTTAGTTGGATCATCTATTTTAAACACATTAATTGTGCCCAAACCTTCATCTGTCCAAAATAAATTACGACCTGTCCAATCAATAGCTAATCCCTCACAATTCATTTCAGACAACATTTTGACAGATTTTATTTTAGATCCATTTAAACTTATTCGTTCTATTGCATTTCCCTTTCCTCCTGAATAATAAATGGATTGTGTTTTAACATCATAGTCAATAGATGTTGGCATTCGGCCGTTATTCAAAGGTAAAATAATTTGTTCTTTATGCATCTTTGGGTTCATAGATATTCCTTTAATCATTGGTGGATTACTCTTTCCAAACATCAAAAATGCCGTCAATTTGAAAGCTAAAATATTACAAAATTTACATTCTAAAAATGATAAAGTATGATTTTAAAATTAATTTTAAAAAACAATTAACTTACCAACACATTTTCCAGAAGTAAGTCTGTAACCAGGTTGGCACAAACATTGTGCAGTAGCTTCTTTATTTTTATAACCAGTAACACAAATATGGTCACATCCTCCATTATTTATCATACAAGGATGTTTAACTAGAAAATACAGAAAATTATAAATACTTTAAAAAAAAAATTATTAATATTTAAAAATGAATTTTAAATCTGTTTATTATTTCAATGAAACAACTATTTATTAAACCTTATAATTTTATCTTTAATATTATACTTGTATTTATTTAAAATATCATACTTTCAGGCTGTTCTTGTCTGTGATACACATGAATAGTAAATGGTCGACTTAAGTTTGTCATTAATAATTCATGTGAACTACTGTTAAATTTATTAAGTTTTATAACACTTTGCAGTCTCCAGGATGTAACAAACATGTGATTTTCAAACACAGATATGTCATACAAATTTATAACCTGAATCAACATTTTATATGAAAATTAATTTTATTAAATATTAATATTTTACAAAACTATTTAAGTATTTACTGGAAATCCTTTTTGAATAGTACGCCGATTAGATCCATCATAATTAATTCTCTCAACGAAATCTAGGTATGTATCTACCCAATAAACATGTTCTGAAGGAATATCAACAGTTAAACCATATGGATATACTATTTTGTGGTCTACTAAAGACTGTCTATTAAGACCATTAAGTCGAGCTCTTTCTACCATAGCAGGAAATTGTCCCCATTTAGTAAAGAACATAAACCTAACAATATAATAAATAAATAAAATTAAATTAGATAGAATATATGTCAGATAATATTTAGTTATTTATCTTTAATATATTTAATCTGACCACCACTTTTATATTTTATACACTTAGATACTTATATACTTTAATTATATGTACACATACCCTATCATTTTTTATTATAACATTTCGCACTTAAAAAAATACAGATGTCTATTTTAAAGAAAATTCAAACCTCAAATAATCTTAATTAAAAATTAAATAATAAATTACTTTCAGGTAATGAAACATACAAAATATTATACTTCAGAGGTGACCAAATTGAGATAAAAATAGAATCTGACATGATGGTATAATAATATTATTTTATTTTGTGTTATAAAATAGTTGATATTTAATCTATAATAATAACAATCAAGGTGATTAGCAATATATTTTTGTATTTTGGGATAAATAAAAATCTTTTTTTCTTAGCTTTTGCATTATTTTTCATTCTACAATATATTATATATACAATATCATTCTAACAGCCCATAAGTTTCTTTTCACTGGCCACCCCTGATCCAAATAATAGGTAAAGTAAAATCAACAATAACAAAATTCACTAAAGTTATAAAAAAACCATACTAATTGTCAGTCCTCCTTCACCTATTCCTGCCTCTTACCACATTAAATTATCTATATCTGTATTATTCCTTAAATATTGATTATCTGTAAATCATTAAGGGGAAAAAAGTAAAAATAATAATAAATTAAATTATCATACTCCAAGTCTTCTAAGATATCAACTTTTCTTTTTACCTAATAAGTTATAAATTAAATGGATTTAAGCAAGCCTGGATTAAGGGGGGGCAGAGGGGGCCATGGCTCTGGGCCCACAACGGATATCAAACAATAGTAGGTTATTTTCGTTTTTTAACGAAAATATATTATTAATTTTAATAAAAAAAAGATTAAATTTTTTTCTGTCTTATTTTTAACCAAATATCAAAAGTTAAAATCTAAATTCAATAAAATTACAATATGCATGTTTTGGACCACTCCCGAAAAAAATTTCTTCTAGATATGGCCTTGGTTATGAGCCCCTAAAATTGTTTGGTCCTGGGCTCAAAATTATCATAATCTGGACTTGGATTTAAGATTTGTAAAATTTGTAACTAGCAATTAAAAAAATACTAAAATCACAGTAAATTTTATTATACTAACTTAAATAACTATAAATATAACTTAAGTAATAAGAATTCATACCCTTTGGTTGGATCTAAAGCAATACTTCTAGGTTTATTTAGATTTACATCAATCAAAATGTAACAATACTGCATAGTATATGTACACATATATATCATATCTCGTTCATCATCTACATAATACCAGTTGCCTGAAACCCAATCTAATGCTACATGAGTAGTACCTAAAAACATTAAACACAATTATAATTAATAAAATATTTTTCAAAGACATTATTAATATTCAAACCTAATAATGGATAGAATGATGGTGTTGGTAAATTCCAGAATACAGAAAGGTCATCTACTTTAGCACAACTCAAATTAGCTATACCAGTTTTATTATACTGATGAATAAAACATATTGTACGATTTCTGTGATCAAATGTGAGAGATAGAGCTTGAACATTACATTTTGGACCAGGAAAAGAAGTTCCATTTAAGTATATTCTTCTAATATCTTTAGAAGTACTAACAAATATTGTAGCTGGTTCATTTTCAGGAACTGCAATATTTAATTTACGTTAATAAATTGATAAGAATATATTTTTAAGTATATGATTACCATTGATGGCTTTACAAGATGAATTTACTTGCACATAACCAGATACACAGTTACAACTAAAAGATCCTTTTTGATTTGTACATATTTGATCACAAGTATAATCTAATACTTCACATTCATCCATATCTAAAAAAAAATTATATTATGTAATCAAATTTTAAAACCAATCACTAATAATTTAAAGTGGATACATACCAATACATTCACTTTTATGAGGTTGCATTCCCTCAGGACAAAAACATGCTGGACCTTTACCAGTAGGCTTACATCCATGAGCACAATTTAAACCATGACATGGAACCATATTTTCTGAAATTTTATTTTATATATTTAAAAATAATTTGAAGTAGATAATAATTTAAATATTATTTTAACTAATTTACCACAAAAACTTCCTTCGTCAGTATTATTTTCACAATGAGTTTGACCATCACAAAATACTTCAATGTATTCACACTTAGTTGAATTACCACATCTTGCCATATTTGGAGGGCAGCTACCTGGTTTTTGACCTAAATAATACAACAATTATTTATAACTAAAAAATAATATACATCGTATTATCATATGTTAAATTATTCTAAAATAATAATTTTAATAAACTATCAAAAGTATTACATTGCAGTGGATCTTCATCAGATGTATCTGGATCAGTTGAATTTAATGATACACCACAATCAATCTCACCATCACATATCCATTCTTGTGGTATACATTTTTTTGATGATGCACATTGGAACTGAGAATGCTTGCATGTCGGAAGACCTAAAAAAAATTATTGAAGTACAATTAATGTCAAATTATACATATATAAATTCAATAAAATAAGTCAAACAAAAGTATTAACAATCTTTTATTTTACCACATGAAAAAAACTCATCTGAACCATCAGCGCAATCAGGATTGAAGTCACATTTCCATTTTAAAGGTATACATTCTCCTGAACCGCATAAAAATTGGTTTTGTTTACATGAACCAACAGATTTTTCTAAACATATTAATATTGCATAAAAAAAATCATTTTTAAATCATATAATACTATAAATTATTATATTTTGAGATAAATTTATAATTTAAAAATTCAGGTATAACTTATATATATATATATACAACTAGTTAAATTATCCAGCTTTGCTCATGTGTATTTTTTGCTTTCTCTAAATGAAATGCTTAAATGAACACATATTGTTGTGTTTTAGAGAAGTAAAAAATTTATTTTACTTAATTTAATCGAGTGCTAAGTGGTAGTAGTAACTGAATTTTAAATAATAATAAAAAAAATTATAATATTTACAAATGATTCTAATGATTTTATACACACATTATTATTAAAAATAATTCTATAATCCTTATCCTTATTTATATATAAAAGAACAATCATTTTTTAAGTTCCAATTTTGTGACGATACTATTTAAAATTTTTCCATTTTTTTTTTTTTTTTTGCAAAGTTGTGCTAAATACTCTGCTGAATGTCACCATAAAACCTGATTTTTAATTTTTTTTTATCTGAGGGGAGGTAGAATTGGATTGTATTTTTATATTTTCCAGTTTTATGACAATGTGATTTAACATTTTCCAATCCTCCTCTTCCTCTCCTCAGACAAAAAAAAAAAACGAAAAATTGAGCGACGTTGTAACACTTAGAAAGGTATTTGGAACTTATGAACTTATGAAAATATTAAATAGTGTCATCACAAAATTGGAACATAAAAAAGACCTGTTCATGTATAAATATTACAGAAGTAACCATTATTTAAAATATTTATTCTACAATAACAAAGATATGTGTATGTTTTTTTTACAGCAATCACAGCATACACCAATTTAATGAAAAAGATTAAGAATATTCTTATTATAATTTTGAATTTCTTTAATTTAAAAAAAAAATATTTTTATTTACTACACATTGAATGGAATAAACAGTATCTTTTTTATAAATTTTGTGATTAATATTATAAATAGCTTTAGAATGAAAAATTATAATTACAATAAAATCGAAAATCATTCAATATTTTTATTTTGTATGTACATTTCATGCTTGCCCCCTTAGTTTATATACCTACATAGCAATGATTAAATTAATTTTTTATTAAAATAAACATTTTATAATAATTTTTATAAAAATATCAATTTTTAGTTCTACAAAAAATAAAAATAAATCGCAAGTTATCTCCATCTAACAAAATATTTTACTCAATAATTATTTATAATAATTTGCAATTGCTACATGAATTACATAACAATAAAAAACTACAATAAATCAGATTTCATGAAAATATACAATAAATATTTATTTAATGCTATTGTATTATATAATATAAACTAAAAGTATATATTTAAAGACTGAAAATTTAAACAGATTTATTTATGTACATATTAACCTCTCGAACATATCCTTTTAAAGTAAAATTAATTGGATACTTCCTGACACCAAAAGTTAATTTAATTCAGTAGTACTCAATGAATAGTTCATTGATCTATTTAACAATTTCATAATGGTTAAATCCTTTTTTTTTTTAAAAAAAAAAATATATTCATTTCCAAAATAATTAGATGAATTCTAGAATTATTTATAAAATTATAAAAATGTATATGTACACAAAATAACAAATAATATAACACAGAAAAGTACAAGGATGTAATGGTAAATTTTGTTAAAAATATAACCTTTGACTGAAAATAAATTCTAGGCATTTAATTTTATAGTTAGGTGTGAAATATATTATATAAAATTAACATGTTATATTTATTATTTGTTTATGAATATGATATTTTATTTAATATTATAAAAAACAAAAGAAAAAATAATAATAATAACTTAATATTACGTCAAAATAAAATATTTAAGTAATAACTAACATCTAATAATAATGATAAAAGCACTGACAGTAAAAAGGATAAAAATAAATGATGAATATAACTGTAAAAATGTAATTAAAAAAATAGTGCTAATTACAATGATGATGACCAATTGTTATGTAAAGGTAAAATTATAGAATAATATTAAAGAATTCAAAATAATCAGGGTATTTTACAAATGTATAGCCAGGTTAGGTTAGGAATTATGGTTCAAAATTATATTTACTTAAAAACTACCTATAAATTGTACTCAATAAAATATAGTTTAATAAACCAACAGTTTTCAACTGAGTCGGAAAATCGTAATTTAAAAAAAAAAAAATCAGAAATTATTTTTAAAATAGTTCATGAATAAAAAATATTCATTTATTAAAAATTATATCTAAACTAAATGAGCAATAATTATAAATAATTTATTTATAATTGTTTTTTTTGATTAAATTTCCTTTTTTTTTTTTTTTTAATATATATTAGAAATATTTAAACAAGTAATGATACCTATCTAAGACCGACCCTGAAAAAACCAAAATAATAATAGTTATAATATAAATTTAACTTTGACAATATATTATACATGTGTTAAACATTTTGATTAATGAATTTTAAACACCAGAAGCATTTAAGATGGTTTTCTATTAATTTTTATCATTCTTCTCTCAAAACAGTAACAGAAAAATACCACAAATAGGTAGTTAACTTATCATAACAGAACAAAATATAATTTTATTTTAAACTCAAAAAATTTTAAATTTCAATACAATAATATATCATTTCAATCAAAGTTGAATTTGGTTAAAATGAATATACTATATTAAACCTAAAGAGAAAATATAATTTAATTTTCACAATCACTTGAGGTAAAGTAACAATTAACAAGTACCTAACCAAGTCAGTTGCTGTACGTAGAACTATAAAAATAAAATAAAAAGATAGCTTAAGCAAAAAATTATTGGATAAGTAAAATGAGGATAATATCTAAATTAATTTCTTATGTTATCTATAATATCATATCATTACATAAATACCTATATTAGAATTAACAAAATTATATTCTTATCTTATTAAGAACCTCATTAAAATTTTAAATCTCCTTATCACATAATATATAGTATGTTAAGTTCAGTGTATTATCATAATTTCAATATTAAATCTATTATAGTTGCCAAGCAATATTGTTTTTTCGAAGGCTAATAAAAAAGGTTGTATAAAAAAAAACAATTGAAAAACCTAAATAGGATCTTAAATTATGATCTTTAAATAAAATATTAAATGTATTTAATTAATAAGTACTTCAACCTTTTTTTTATATACAAAAAAGTAAAACAACAGAAAAACATTCATTAATGAAGTGAAATAAATCATATAAACAATTTAATTAACAAAGTTACATCTTTATAAATTATGTAATGAAAATTACTATACTATCATACATACATTGAAAAATATTTTTTTTTAATTCACCGAGTTAACAACATACTACTTTCAGAAAAATATAATGATATATATATATATATCCACCTGATGACACTCACATATTAAACATTCTAGAAAAATGTATTTTTTGTGAAAAACTATCTACATTAACCACTTACACTAAATTACTTTGATTTATATGTAGATAGATAAAAATCAAATATATTTAAAAAAAACTACATGTATAAAAATATAAATCTTAAAAAAATGATGCATTTTATGTTTTATTCATATTTTATAAAGTATATGTCTATGGTCTAAAGTCTAGTCTGTTAACGTTGTGCTATTAAATATCAAATATTATACATGCCAACAGATATATCACTAAAAAATATTAAAAAATAAATAAAAACGGTTGTTACACTTTGATAGTTTTCAACAATACTTTAATTAAGTATTACTATATATAGTAGGTATCAGCAACAATTGTATTGATTTAGCTCGACTCAGTACAGAACAAAATAAAAACAAATAAAAGTGAGTCTCTTATGTCTTACCATTAACGGGATCATCAGGTGTATTAGTCGCTGAAGAAGTGCCGAAGAAAATTAAAATCCCCAACAAACAAAAGCGCGGTATCATTTTGAAATTGACGATTATAATTCGAACATATTCTTAAATTTTGTATGGGTACGCGTTTTCTAACAGTTCAACTTTCGTTGAATGTCCTTAACACTAGGTCGCCGTATAATTTTAATAATTGGCATGCGACAGACAACGAGAGAGCAAAATATATAATTCTTTATGTATTTCCCAAGTCACAGAGCGTTAAAAAAACAACAGGCAGACTTGTTCTTTTGTTTATTGCGCCATTTTGAATGTTTACTGGCGCACCGACTGACGTTGGTTGTGATTTACTGGGCTGTTTATTCGGTCCGGTTTTCCAGCATTGCAGCTTCCCACCCCCAATATTCACCTGCCGCTACCACTGATTGCATAGAAGTCGTATCTAACTTCAAATATCTATTCGTATCTTATCATATAATCTGTGATATCAACAGCACCGTCGATTGTCGGAGATAACCATAGATCTCATGTACCACGGTGTGTAATAAACAGTAATCGCTCTCGACGAAAGCTGATAAAAAACAAGATCTTCCGTCGCCGCTGCCGACTGACTTCGACTACACTTGCCGGTCCACCACTTGTTCGACGCCTAGGCCAACTGTTCGAAATTATATCGGCTCCCGTTGTGTATAACTGGAGAACTGGAATTGCATTTTGCTTCACATCGTATCCGTGTTATACGACCGTCATCAGGATCAATATAAGGCACACATTTTTTACGGCGTCTGTTGATTGTACGTTTTGAACGTTCCGCTGCCGTTTGATTCTTGGTCTAAGTATACATGTGTGTGAAAATAAATTATTCATTTAATTAAATTTAAAAGATGAGCCTAATGCTATAATGATCAATATTTTCATAAGCGTAAATAGCGTTTTAGATTTGGAAAAACTGGAAAATGTTTCATAATATATTTTATTATATACAATACCCTGTGTAATTTAATCATTATTTTTGGGAAGCTATAAATAACCTAAGGAAAGCTTAACCCCAAGTTCCTTTTATATACGTCTATAGACATATTTGACATATTTTCAACATTTTCAAGGTACCTAAATTCTTTCAACCTTAGTACATGTAATTAGCCATAATTTATGAAAAATGTACTGTTATAAACTAGTAAAAGATTAATGGTTTAAATCATAAAAATATAACATTGTATCTGGTTAAGTAGATATATTAAAAGATCTATAAGATGCTTATTGGGCTAATATAGCCATATTATAGGTAGTTTTTATAAGTAATCTAATTATTTTACTTGAAGATTCTTATTTTTTCAATTATGAAACTCTAAGCAGACAAGTTTAAAAGTTGGCTAAGCCCAATCATGTTACCAGAAAATTTCGATTGAGGTTCAACAATTTTATAATTTTCCATAATTTATTTCCTACGAGAAATTTGTAGAGCCAGTAGAAGCACTATTTGACACTAATTCCCATTTAATATTATAATGTATCTCTATATAAGTTATAAAACAATTAAAAAAATAATACATTGTTTTATTGAATAGTTATTACAATACATTTATTTAATGTGTATAAATTATAAGCATAGCATATTTTTGGTACTTAGTAAAAAAAATAATATATTAATTTAGGGTGACAACCCTGGGCCAGAGTAAATTTAAAAGAGAGCCCTGCTCATCCAAACCATCTGGCTACATGTCTGGCTAATCCTCATAAAGTGTGTTAGAACCTACCCAAAAATATTAAAATATAATTATACAATTATACAATTCAGTCCTACATCCAATGGCAAAGTATACTACCAATGCCATATAGTTTCAAGTTTTTATTTATATATACTTTATATGTAATTTAATAAAGCTATATACTATATTTATCGTTCAAAAGCACAAATTAGTTCAAAATAATAAGTGGTTTAAAATTTCTATTCTAATACAATAAATTGCTGATGGCATTAAAATGAAAAATAGTTATATTGGTTAAGATAACTTGTCAGAAGTTCTACAGCCATCTAATTATTGATTATATTTTTCTTAAAAATGTTATTGTTGTGTTTATCATTGTGCCTTGTCTCTACTGTAATTAATATGAAAATCTTACCAGTGTTAATGAAATGTTTGTTTTTTTAAGCTATGAATTGACAGAAACTTAACTATACACTAAAGTATTATATTGCTTAAAATTTTATCTTAAATACTTTTGAAAAAGGTGTAGTTATAAATTATCTCATAAATGATGAATGACTGAACTACTCTCAATAAATATCTTTATAATGGCTTTTTAAGTGATGAGCATATTTTCCCCCAATCTATATTCAATTATTATAAATTATTTACATTTTTATTAAGAAATGTTGATGGCAATGTTTGATGGTGCAAAGTTTATAACATACCTACTTAGCAATATAATTTTTTAAATATCTACAGCTATGATAATAATTAATAAATAATGAAAATCAAATAAATATTTAACTTTGTTGGTACCTATTGTGGATATGCATATAATTTAACTATAATAGTATTAATGCATTTTACATATTCTATTATTCATTTTTTATTTTGAACACAATTATCAAATATAAATTATTAACTAATGTACTTTAAACTCATCTTCCAATTGTAAATATGACCTTTTATAAGTTCTGTGGTTAAATTCTAAATTTATGTATATGATGAATATTTTTTATGTGTATTGATGAATTTATAATGAATAGTTTTCATTACAGTATAATTTAGTCAATAATCATTAAAATGTCGAAAATGGCAGAAAGTAATAGTAATATCATTTTATTTGATATGGCTAAAAACGAATTATTTGATATAAATGATAATTTAAAAATTTTAAGAAGAAAACTTAAAGTCGCATATAATATTGCCATGTAAGATAAAAAACAAATTGTTCAAAGTATTTTACTAATATTCAATTATTTTTAGAAATAAGTATGAGATCACTATGGACGTTTTAAATGGTGTTCAATTAGTTGTATTTGGAGCTCCACGAGCCATGTTTTCTGAAGCAGAATTTAATTGTCTTCGTAAATACATAGATCTTGGAGGATCTGTCTTAGTTATGTTTACTGAAGGCGGAGAAAAAGAATTACATACAAATATAAATTATTTATTGGAAGAATTTGGTATTATGGTAAATAGTGGTAAGTATATTTTATTTTGTAAACAATTAGAAAAGGATTTTCATTTTTTTTTTTTTTTTTTTTTAGTATAATTTTATTTTTCCTTTAATGGTACTATAAACAAGGGTGTATTGGTTCGTATACGCGGATATACGCCGTATACCTATCTGCAGATTTTTAATCTTTGGTGTATACCTAATGTAAAATATTTTACGGGTGTACACTTTTAAAATAACTCGTAAACCAAAAAATACTTATTTAATAGTTCATTGGAAATCATTTTTATGAACCATGAAGTTTGAATGAAATATTTTTATGTTGGAGATTACAGTGTACAGTTTACAGTTTGATTACAGTTAAATGTATTTTAAATTTAATTTAATAAATAGAATTTTCAAAAATAGATGTTATTAAATATAATTTGAAGTATGGACATTCAGCTCATGATTCATAAATCTGCATCAAGCAATTTATAACGCACGACAAATATATATCTTGTGATGTTATATTTTATAGTTTTAATAGAAGTTAAAACATGTAAAGGGTATAATTTAATTTATTCTTACGTAGCTAGAAAAAAAAATTGTCGAGCGAAGCGAGAACATTTTTATAGGATTAATATACGAGTACATATTTTATTAATGCATATAAATATATTTCCTAATACACCACTGATTATAAATAACTATAACTTTTATTGAGAAAGTAGGTATTTTAATGGCTTGTTATAGAAAACCCATAAGATACAGAAATGTCAAAACATTTTTTTTCTTGTTTTTTATAAGGACGCATCATTTTGTGCAGAATTCCCTTATGCGCGTCTTATTGACGTGGCAAATTTGTGTTTTAAAATTTTTGTTTAGAGTAGAAACTCCACATATGAAATAACTTGGAGGATTTTTATATTAATTTCTCGAAAGTTTAAAGTTCTGAACTTAAGAGTTTTTATAATAAGCGATTCATTTGATAATTAACAATTTTAAGAGTCTTCAAACCATTTTTTTTTAAGCTTATTATATATAAATAATCATCTTTAAATGTCTTGTTATGAAAATGTTGTCTTTAAACTTTTCATAAATGTATGTTAAATGTAATTTGTATGTAGGTAGTGGGATAATTTTATAAGGTAACGCAATTAAAAATTGAAATCATTATTTTTCTTGTTTTAACCATTAACACTAACTATAGTAACTCAACTTCTTTGTATAATATAAAAGTAATCAAACTGTTATAAAATTGTTAATCCCTTTTAAAATCGGTTCTTCATTTGAAGATAATACAGTTACTTTAAAATATATTATAATAAAATAATATAGTTACTTTTTTTTGGGGACTTTACCTTCCCTTTTAGTAACATTTTTAATTTTATGTATAATTATTTATACACTTATATATATTCTTTATATGTGTCTGATCTTTTGTCAATATGACTTATAAATTAGTTCATATTTTAGATTATGTATTGCGCACCCATTATTATTTATATTTCCATCCCAAGGAATGTCTTGTTAATGATGGTGTAGTAAATGAAGCTGTGGCCAAGTATTTAGGGCGAGAAAATGAAAACTCATTAAAGTAAGTTTACAATTAATATAAATCATTATTAATAAAAAGTAAACAGAAGAATAAAATACAATTTTTTTTAAATATTTTAAACGATTTTAACTCCAAATTAAATTTATTTGAAATATATCATAATTAAATTTGGTTTCTAAATTATACATATATTTTTTGAAAACCATTAGTTATAGTATATAATAAATAGAACATTTAATTAAAATAGAATTTGTTATTTTAGTATTCATTTAATTCTATTTAATTAAATTCATTAGATTTATCATAAAAAAAGTATGTATAATATAATAATTTTCAGATGTATAAGTTTTGTATTTCCTTATGGTGCTAGTTTAAATGTTGCAAAACCAGCTGCGCCTATTCTTACTAGTGGTTCAGTTGCTTATCCTTTAAATAGACCACTGTGTGCTTTTTATTCCGCTTCAAAATATTCCAATGAAGGTACCATTAACATAAATGTATTTAATACACATCTTGCATTAATTATATCGTTTACATTTATTCATATTGGCACTTTTTCTTACTGTTACATAGTGTAGTTTGAATTATTTGTAATTACTATTTTATCAAGTATGTATAAGGTAATATTTTATATTACAATAAATTTAAATAGCACATTATTGCAGCCAAAAAAGGAAAACTGGCTGTCATTGGTTCTGGTCATTTATTAACGGATAAATATATTAATTGGGAAGAAAATGATAAAATACGTGAGATTCTATTTGATTTTTTAATCACAGACAATATAACACTAAATGAAATTGATGCTAATGATCCTGAGGTACATATTTAATCATGATCAATTTTGATTAAAATATTTATTTATTTAATTTTTTTTTTTTTGATTAACAAGATTTATTTTATTTCATTTTTTCAAGACTTCAGATTATAAAATGATACCAGACATAGGAATGCTTTCATCTCGTGTTCGTACTTGTCTGCAGCTTCAAGAAAGTTTAAATAACACTGGTCATATATTATTTTCAGCTGACAATATAAATTCTCTTATAGATACTAAATTGTGTTCTCTAAATACTTCAATGTTACCAGATACATTAAACGCATACAAAACTTTAAATGTTCCACACAATCAGTTACAACTGATTCCTCCTACATTCAATGATACCTTACCAGCTTTACAATTTGCTGTAAGTAATAATTTTTTAAAGTTGAAATCAATTATTTTCTATGATTAATTTAATTTTAGGTATATCCACCTCCTTTTCAAGAATTGCCATCACCATTTTTAGAATTATTTGATCTTGACAGCATTTTTGGTTCAGAAAAATCATTATTAGCACAATTAGCTATGAGTTATTTAGAAACAGAATCTAGTGAAAAAACAGTCGAAGATAATATTAATCAATTTATTCATGATGTTAATGAAAATTTAGAATTTATTGGTCACATTAACGACTGTAAAGAAGTAATACAAACAGTCTTTTCATTTATAAATAACTATAAAAATTAAGTTTTTTTGTTAACTAAAAAACACTTAGATTACATTTTTATTATATTATAACTTAATCATGAACAATAAATAGTATTTTTGCACTATGAAAATATTTTACTTTCATTTTTTTTTACATATTTTAGAATCTTATGTAATAAATTACAGTTATACTTAAATATATTTATTTACAATACCTTATGAATAATTGACATAAAAAAATTAATTATATTTGATTGCCAAAAAACATTCTGGCAGTCTTTTGTACTTAACACATGGAATTATTTATTTTGAGATCTTGCAGATCTCTTATATCTACACTTTCTTCCATGTGCCTTTCTTTGATTTGTATAATACATAAGATATAACGTAGAATATTAAAGCCCAGATCAACATTGAAATAAATCCCATGTAAACAGCTTTATGGTCAAGGGACCAACCACGCATGGTTATACCCCGTAATGCTTCAATAGCTAATGTAATTGGAACAAATTTATTGATGTACTTAACAAAATGACGAGCTCCTTGAGTTGGCCAAATAAAACCTACGCATAAAAAAAACAATATTTTAGAAAAATTAAAATGTATTGAATTGATATTGTATTTTATTTACCACAAGCACACATCAATAAAAAATTTGTGCCTACTCCTGCAAATCCAGCTGCAAAATGGCTATCATTTGCCAAAGCCAACACAAAACCTAAAAATGATTTTAAAAATTAGGTAATTTATAAAGTTAAATTAAAATGATATTTGTATTCTAACCATAAACCATGCCTGTTATTCCAATGACTATGAGTAGACTAAATCCAATTGTAATTGATCCAATGTATGGATTCTCGTAAAATACATACATAATTATTAAAATTTCAATTGCCTGTATACATATGTATGTAATTTGAATAATTGAATGAGCTAATGCTATTTCAAAATAAGTCATGCCAGAAGTAATGATCCGATCCAATATACCACCATTTTGCTCATCAAGCATAACAAAAGTTGTAAAAATTAATGGCAAGAAAAACATACATCTAAAAAAAAAAAAAAATATCCTAAAGTCAAATACTTGAACATTGAAACTTATGTCTAGATTAGAAGAAGATAGCTACTATCTTATATATTAAAAAAATGTATGAAAACTAAAGTCTGGCCGTTCTATCCGGCCGATTTCCTTCATTTTTTTTTTTTTTAAATGAAAAGTACTTAGACACAGGTATGTCATCAATCGTTGAAATTTACTCAACTCCCACCTTACTAAAGTTATACTTAAACGCGATTCTTCCCTGTACATTTCTTATGGGACACATCCACTCAAGCAATTTGAATTCTCATAGTTCCTCTTCTAATGAATAGATTTTGATTGTTTCACTCTCAAAACAAACACTCAGCGGATCAATCTCTTTCTTTTGAGCTATTAACTGCTTAAATTCGTTGAGTTTGAGGAAAGTTATGTGTACACAATCAACTTTACTTTCAATTTTTTCCAAATACTGCATTCTCATTAGCTCTTACCAATTAGTTTTAATAAACACTCTCTGTCATTTCGACATGTCTTTCAATTTTTGATATTGTACTCATTTATTGATTTGTTAAAATGTGTTTATGTATTGATTCGATTACACCTAAACTTTTTATTATATAAATAAATTATCTATTGCGACTTTTCGCAACGGTTATACTAGTATTTTTTTATTATACTTAAGGATTAAATATTACAATAAATAACCGTAATTAAATGGCCATTGGCTTATTTAACTATACTTTCAATTACAATATAATCAGCTTAAGAACACTTTTTAATGTGATGAACAAAATACATACATGCAAACTGTGCCTGGTGCAACAAAATGAGCAAAAGACCCTGTATTGGAACCGTAAATAGCATCATGAACCTAAATATTAAATTAATGATTTTAAAGTTTAAATTATATAGGCATGCTTATAAAACAAAATATGTAGCCACTTACCTTAATAGGATAAGAAATTACTTTATCCAAGGAATCTTTACAAGAGCCAACTAAATTTTTTAAAGCATCAGCTAAACTCAAAGTCACGTCTCTTTCAATCAAAATTGACATATATCTATCTAAAACATATTCGTATAATTTAATGATTTTAAAATTTTTTAGTAATTTCTTCAAAAATATGATTACCTGAATCGTCAATCCAGAAATCTAGAAAACTATAGTCAACTACATCTTTAAGGCTGTCTCGACCTGTAGTAACTCTATCTTTTAATGATTCTGTGTAATTCCAATTGATTCTTAACAAAGCCCAAATTTCATTTTTTTTTATAGAATTTTTTGCAACTTCGACATTGTGATAATCTCTCTGCAAACATCAACAAATAACAATTAATATGGTATTTTATGGGTACACTAGTTATTAATATTTTATATTATATCATAAATATATGCACCCTTTAAATATTCAACAGATTTATAATATTTATATTTTTATATTACCTACTACACTTACAATTTTATAAGTTCTTTTACGAAGTTGGTAAATCAGTTGACAACTACCATACATGTTTTGGTCCAAAAAACAATTATTATTATTTTTATAAGTAAAATTTGCACAATTTCTGAAATCAATTTCTTCGTTTATAATTCCAATATTGATATTTTTTGGATCACGTCCAATAGCCATATTGAAAAATACAGTTATAATGATTGGCAAACCCAACATCAAATAGGTCATTCTAAAAAAATTGTTAATTTGTATCAAATGGTTTTTTATACATAATGTATACGTAGTAGAATCAAAAAATTCCCATATTTTTTTTTTATGTAAATATTTATATTCAATTTAAACTTAAATTAACTTAATCTCCTTCAAAATATCATCTTTCTGCAAAGATACACTTACTCCCACATATTTGTAACTGCTGGATACATCTTTGATAAGACCCTGAAATTTTCTATCGCACATATTTTAATGTTTTCAAGGGTCGCAAAATGTTGAACTATAATGTCGGAAATAGCTATAAGTCATATGGTGCGATATCTGATGAGTAAGTTGCAGACAATTTTTTATATCAGCTAAAAATTATTGAACTATAAAAGACGATTGATAGACGATGCATTGAAGTGATATAGAAACCAACCATTCTCTCAATTTTCTGGCCTTTTTCAACGAATCGAATCTCTTAAATGTTTTAAAACTTCAATATAAAAACCAGAATAGTTTTTTCATTCGATAAGAATTTCCAATGAACTAAAGTTTGACAAATTTAAAAATAAAATGTAATGTTTAACCGTAGTTTCAAGGGTGAACTGACAGATCGGGAGAACAAGAAATTTCCTGATGGGCAGGCTAAAAGTTGAATTGTGGGGCCCATTTGTTTGTAATTATATTTTATTGTGATTTTTATAATACAATAATAATTTTGTTTTATTTAAAATCTATAAATTACAAATAATACATTTATAATAATGTCCAATATTTCGTTACGTCGCACTAAGAATAACGATTAAAACTCAATTTACCATTTGGCACTTTGCATAAATTATTAAATAATTAATAAATAAGTTGATAAATAATATTTGCTTTTGATATTATGTGTTATAGTACATGTTTTGAATATTTAACTGAAAAATGTGTGATATTATAACATAAGTCTTGAAATAGTTTAATAAGTTAAACAATAGTTTTCGGACTGTTTTAAAAAAAATTTCGGATCTGCACTGAAAGAGCCATATGTTCGAATTGTGACATTTTGAAAAATAAGCTTGAACTCTATTTCATATGCATACGATTACAGAAAACACTAAACTAATGTAGTCTTATAGACTTATAATTTATAAGTAATAAATTTAATTTTCCTTTAATTCCAATAATCATATATTAGATAGGATAAATATTTTTTTTCTATAAATAAATTCCAGGAACTTTTTGATCTTACTACGTAAATTTGTATACAAGTTTATGAAGGCTGTATCTGAACTGTAATTAAATTCAGAATATGTAATTAAAAAACTTTGAAAAAAATTAAAAAAAGTTTTTACATAATAAAAAATAAAATAAAATTAGTTATCAGTTAATACTCGTAAATTAATATTGAAATAAATAGTATAAACAGGGACGCCCACAGAAATGTAGCTCAGGGAGGCAAAAAAATTGTAAGTACCTAAATACTTATAGGAAGATTTACTGCTACATATTTCATCTACTCATATTTTGTATTACTATCATTAATAATTTTTCAAAAATCAAAACTCATTTAAGTTTATATAAAATTACATTATTAGTTATTAGTTTTAATATTTATAAGAAAAAATATAATAAAGTTTAAACAAAAAACAACTTTATTTGATTGAATTCGCATCATATTTTATTATTTTATTCAAAAAGTAATGACAATCTCCTTTTGTTTGAAGCAAATAAATTAATTGAATCATCATTTGTTGGTTAAAAAAATGTTAGATACTTGTTAGATACAAGGATTGTCGAATAGTCACTGAATACCCAAGATCAGCTTTATGTAAAATAACTTCCAATTTTTAAGTGACGCGAAAATCTCAGGGGGGGCAATGGCCCCCACTGGCCCCCCCATCCGGGCGTCCCTGAGTATAAATATATAAATAAATAAATAAACGCTTAGATTGGCGTTTTATTATATTTGTATTGTACGACCGGTTTTAAATTAAAAATTCATCGGTAGATATACAAAAAGTCAATAAAAACACAACTGAATATGAAAAAAATAATGAATCAAAAATACTGAGAAAAATTAGATGTTTAAGACGGAGAAAATGTATACTACTTTAGTATAATACTTTAGTAGGAGAGATTATTTTAAATGAATTTTTTTAGACATAGATATGTTAAGAAATATAAATACTTCAGTTATTATTATTTAAAATATTATTTTTTTAAATAAGTTTTTATATTTAAAATATTGTTAAAACGATTTTCTTTATTTCATTGTATATGTGTAATTTTTCTAAAACTGATTTAATTTGAATGTTATTTTAGGTATAAAATATTTTTTTTTTAATTTAATTATCTTTATATAATAAATTATTTTTAGTTTTATTGAAAATTATACAAATAAATATTATTAAATACCCAAAATAATACTAACATAGATTCAGTTTTAGAAGAGTTATACGTACACAATGAAATAAAGAAAAATTATTTTAATAATATTTAAAATGTATAAACCTATTTTAAAAATACCTCATATAATTTTAAATAGTAATAACCAAAGTATTTACTTAGTATTTATCTTTCTCAACATACATATCTATGCCTAATAAGAATTATTTTTAAATAATCTCTGCTTTTAAAATAAATTTTCTCTATATTGAAGAACCAATTTTTCTCAAAGTATTACTTCTTTATATAATACTCCAGGCTAAGCATTTATTTTTTTATATTTGTCAACTATTAATTTATATATTACACTTTTACCATTTTATATTTCACATAATAAATCCTTTAAAAAATTATAATTTCATAAATCTAAATTTAAGATGATAAAATATGAATTCCCCCAAAAATTAATTCTATTAATGCCTATTAATAAACTTGTAAGTAGTAATTTTTAACAGAGACAATATTACTGTTTATTTCTCCATAATAAAAATCGATTTTTCAACATCTGAGCTCGAAATCGTCTTGTTTCAAATTTCTTGTTATTATCTAGAGGTAACAGTTTTTTTTGCACACTATCAGCAGCAGGCAAAGAAGACTTCTAAACAATAATGTACATATAAATTTTATACAAAATACAAATAAATAGTAATAATTTATGCAGTGACGTACTTATACATGAATTTGGGAGGGGTTAATTTTTAAACAAACAATTCGGTGGTCTGAACATAAACAAAATTAGGGGGCTAGAGCAGTGGCGTATCCAGAATTTTTTTTTAGGGGGGGCACACACTGTCTAAAATTTTACCTTATACACTACCTACTACCAAAAAGATAAAAAAAAAATTAACCAAATATTTAATGTTTTTAATGAAAATAGTTTATTTATATTTACAGTCAGTTATTAAGTTAATATATATGTACATAATAATAAATAGTAATTTAATAATAAAAACGGGTTAGTCCAAACAAAATTATTAGTGTATAAAAACAATTGTAGATTGTATAAAATTATTTTGACCAATTAACGAGTTGCAATTTTATCAAAACGTGATAATTGTAATAATGATTACTGGTAAAACCGCAAAATATTCATTGGTATAAGCATATTATTGTAGTATGCGTTCATGTATACGAATAAATATAAATCTTTAAAATAAAATCTAGTAAATACAGCCAACGAGGGGGGGCATGGCCCCTGTGCGCCCCCTGGATACGCCACTGGGATAGAGGGGCTAAGCCCCCTCAAAAACATTAAAAGCCCCCCAAAAACCATGCAAAAATTTATATTATTATATGTGATTATTACTGAAAAATTTTTCATATGAATTAAAAAAAAAAAAACTGAAAATATGAAATTTTTTTTATTTTTAAGTTTTACTTGCCTTCTAATAAGCACATTTTTATAGAGGGTGAAGGGCTTATAGTTTCCGAGAGACAGTGATTGAAAAATAAATGGGAGGGGCTGAAGCCCCCAAAATTTTTTACTCTAATTGCGCCTATGGTCCTGAACCTAATAAGACATTTCGTAAACTTTAATAGATTATTCATTTTTATTCGTTATTATTTTTAATATATTTATAAATAAAAAAAATAAAATAACGCGTATTAGTTCCGTTCGTCACTAAGTTTGATCACTTAAATTTTCAATTCAACTTGCGTTTCAACATTAAATGTATTAAATTTATTGAATGCAATAGATGCATGTTTTTTCTGTTTTCACTAGCGACGTCACAAATCAGTCGTCTTTCAGGTTGTTAACAAAAAACTTGTTGAATTCACATTACTTTTAGGTGTTACTGTGGCCTACTTAATTATTGCTAGTGCAAAACAAAAACATTGGATGGAAGCTTTTTTTAAGATTCAAAAATTATTTAAAAACTCAAAATTTTGAAGCATAGAAAACCTTGCGTTGTAGCGAGCGTCACGAAAATACCATATTATAGAAATACTAGAATAAACAGTGCCGTGGTAATACGATAACGATTACAGATTAAAATAGGAATTAGTAGATGGTCGTTATAATTACACCGTCCTTATCTACAATATTTTCTTGGAAATACTCAAATACGCATAGGTACCTTCCCGTAAGATAATGTCAGGGCCGGATCTAGGGGAGGGAAGTCGGGGATTTATCCCCGGGCGTAAGATTTTAGAGAGTGTAATTTTCGTAATTATTAACAACTAATTTGATATTTTTAACTTCGTTAAATACTGATATAAGGTTAAAACTCAATAAGTACGATTGTATAATGATTATAAGAACACAATTTATTTGAGTATTTGTTTATTAGTCTATGGATAGGGCGTAATTTTAACATTTTACCCGGGCGTAAAAATTCCTAGTTTCATCTCTGGATAATGTACAGCTGTATTGACCAAATCTAAGGTTCGCGCACACAGCGGCAGTAACGGTGGTGATGACTGTGACAGTGGCTATCTCTGCCTACGCACACGGGCACTCTGCATTGCAAAGATTTTCATGAACATTTATGAAACATTTATAAATGTACTTTATTTAAGTTAAATAATTAATTGTTTATAAAATTAGAATAATTTATTTAATATAATATAAACGAAGTTTTACGATTTGTAATAGAAACATTTTATGTAGGTACATATACTTGGATATTATGTGGTCCTTTACTAACTGTAGTTGGAGTATAAGTAGTCTGTTCATTTACACCTCTAAAATTTAACTCCCGGGAAAAAAATAAACTATCTAAGTCATAAACTCATAACCCATCACATATTTGATATTTCAAATATTATCTAAATTGTTTCTTAGAACTATAAAAACAAAATTATGTAAACCATTCGGTAAATAATAAAGATTCATGTTCGGTATCGACTGAGCATTATAAGTTAGTTAATGTTAATGATTCTGATATAAATACGATTACACCCAAATAAACCAAGTATTTAGAAGAAATAGTCTAATATAATATACCACTGTGTAAATTCTAAACACAGTATTTAGATTATTAAATAAAAATATAATATCAAAACATGTAATCTTACATATTTTAGTCTATTTAAACTATAGTTTAAATAAATTATATATAATGATATAAAATACGACTAAATACTAGTCATTGTACTATATGTAGTGTTGAATCTAGGATTTTTAAGAAAATACCGCATCGCGGTGGCGGTGAAAATAGGTCCGGCCGCGATATTTGTGTTCACCGCACTGCGATTTTCTAACCGTCACCGCCGCCGCTACTGCTACCGCCACCGCGGCAGTGTGCGCGAACCTTTATACATCTCATCATAAAAAACTAATTATTTCCAAACATTTCAAGAGGGTTTTATATCCCCCCCCCCTTTAGTACGCCACTGAATTTATGTAATTTATCAATTTTATGAGTACACATGAAACAGTTGAAATCTATTTTCTCTCACTGTATCAGCACAAACAAAAAATATATCTTACTTGTATAACTTTTGATGTATCAATCATACATAACTTGAGGAACACATCTTCTAAAGATGAACATCCATAACATTTCATTAAATTTTCTGGAGCATCTTCTGATAATATTATACCACTTCTCATCATACCGACTGTGTGTGCTCTTCTAGCTTCTTCGATATAATGTGTAGTAATAATGATTGTTTTACCTTCAGATGACAAGTCAGATAAATGTAACCAGATTCTAAAACATATTTTATTTTTGTAACAACTTATTGACTTAGATATCTTTAATTGATATAATTTCCCAACTTACTTTTCACTAAGTATTGGGTCTAATCCAACAGTAGGCTCATCTAGTATTAATAGAGTTGGATTATGAAGAAGAGCAACTGCAAGGGAAACTCTTCGTTGCTGACCTCCACTAAATAAAATAAGATAGTGTTACATAACTATCACATGAAAAATTTTAGTTTTAGTTAAAAAATAACGATTTTGTAGTTAAAATCAACGCCAGAGAAATAGGTTTTATTGATATTTATTGAAAACAGTATTTTTGGTAGTAAAATATTTAAAAATTTTATGGAGCATATCAGAATTTAATTAGATAACGACTAGAAATGATTACCATTCCGTCAAAAAGTTATACACTGAATTGTGAATCACTTAGATTACACATAAGATACAAAAAATTCATTCCAAACTCGAAAATACAACGAAATATAAATACCTATCCACGCACCATATAACCAATATTCCCGAAAATCTATTATAATCACTAGGTCTTTAAACATCGCCTCCTTTCTTATATATCGAATTTGTCAAAATTATAAATTTAGTGTAAATAATAACCAATGTGTGATAATTATGTAAACTATAATTTCCTTTGTCAATTTTTTATACAAAAAATTAATAAATATAAATATAAGCAAGCCACAACTAAACTTGGCCATTTTTGGGTAAACAAAACTCGGAAAGAATTATTTTTATTATGCAATAATTATGGCGTTCAAATTATAAATGATAATACACCACTATCATAAGCCTATATAAGTGGAGTACTCAATAAAGAAATAGTTAAACAGACTGCTTTCTTATAGTCAACTTAATAATTTCATAAGTTCTAACATTTCCACATCGTTAAGCTTTAAAAAATTTCTTCGATTATCAGTTATTTAAGTAAATTTGTATCAGATATTAATATAATATAAATATAATACCCCTAAAAATAACACAAAAGATTGTTTAATATATACATATTAATAAATAAAAAGAAAAATGATCAATATGTTGTTTTGTATACTACGCAGTATTACCTTATTGTTTTATTTATAATGTACCTACGTACCCTCAAACATCCTAGCAAAGTTTAGGTTTGAATTGCTTCGTTATCAAATTTTACGACAGTCTGCTACTTGTCCTATAAAAAATACCCACATGACCAATTTTTTGATTTATGGTTCTTCTAATTTTACTTTGAATTTTAGTAATTTGGGCTAGGTAGTTATATTAAAAAAATTATTAAATTGTAGAGGGTTTCATAATATTTGGTGATCCACTGTTAGACATTGATAACAATATTAATCTATGTATTTAACACAAGTAATTTTATCTCAATTACGAATTTATTTAACTATTCATGCTTACCTTAAGTTATTTATTAACATAGTTCTTTTAGGCAAATCAAATATAGCGTTATAATATTTGTAACGATCAATAATTTCATCTCGAGAAAGACCAAAAAGAGTTCCGAAGTAAAAAAAAATTTCTTCAACGCTTAGTAATGGATCTAAACACAGATCCTATAAACATATTTATTTTTTATATAGTCCATTATATTGTGTACGAAAAAAATTACTTAAATTACCTGTGGCATGTAACCAATATCATCAATAACATTTGATTCTAAATTAATTACACCATTATCCAACTTCGTTCTACCTACTATACAATTTAAAAGGGTTGTTTTACCGCAGCCACTAGGTCCCAAAAGACCATAACTATAAAAATATATAAATATATAAACTTATTATAAAAAATTATAATTTTTAATATAAAAAAAAAAAAAAAAAAAAAAAAAAAAAAAACGATAAACATAGCTCGCCATAGTAAAATAGTTATGAATTATCATTAATTTAGGTTCTAAGATACAAATTAATAATTGGTAAAATGTATTATTACAATTAAACACAAAAAATACTTTAAATAAATATAGCTTGCAGATATCCATAAAAAGTGTTTATTGACAGTAGTTAAAAACATAATTTAATTTTTTATATGATTAAATAATTCTAAAAAGTTATACAAATAGTTTATTCATACATCGTATTTCTACGAACAGTTAGAGAAACTCCTCTAAGTACAATAGCCGATGAATTGTACTTTTTGAATGCACCTCGAACTTCAACTGAAGCCGTCGGAGGAGGTTGTGGGTGGATGGCCTCCCTACACATTCTGTTAAACATACGAAAATACAAACTTATTATATTTATAATAATAAGATTATTTTATAAAATTCCTTATAATTCTATATATTGTTCAATGTTTTCATAATTCATATTTCAAATGTTTGCGTAGTATAAATTATTGTAATAAGTACATTAACAAATATACGCTTATTATTTGTCAACATATACTATACAATGAAATACTTAATCATGTATTAAGTATTATATATATATATAAAATATGTTTCATTTATTTTTATCTATAGGTTAAACAAAAGGGATTCCGTAATTATTGTAGCGTAGATAGGACTATAGAAGTGTATATTTTTTTGCCGAGTTTCATGATAATATGAGAAAAGCGTTTAATTTATATTTTTCCTGATCCTAGAATATAACAATAGTAATTGTTATTACTAACATACTTTGAAAAACACTTTAATATCCACAATTTTGAATGTTTTATACCAAATTAGAACGAATAAAACAATAATTATGTAAAATATATAGTAGTATAGTGTGTTTAACATTCAAACCTTTGCATTTTTAATATTTGAATACATTTTGCATGACGTATTTACATATTTTGGATGTAAATTAGGGCAACAAAAATACAAAATAAAACCTTTAATCCTTATTTATTTGTTTGTGAATGTTGATGCCTAATATTAATATATATATATATATTTAATGACACTGGTCTCTAAAAATAATTAAACTTTAATAATAATTGCCCGGGTTATTAGAGTTGCATGAGTTCAACTATTAAGTATGACTTTAGTCAAATTAAATACCTACTACGAATACTTCTCGTATTTACCTACACATATAATCGCTTTACCCATATAAATAAACTGCTAAACTCATCTATAATATTATATTATATCTACATAGGTAAGCAGATACGTGGTTACTGAAAATGAGTACCTATATTATCACTGTACATAATTAGTATATTTCAATCATGAAAAAAGGGTCATTACATAATATTAACGATTGCATTTTGCCAGTGCACGCTTTAAAGTTTAAGTCACATGACTATGCATTATTTGCAAAATATAATATTTAACATAACACAGTTAATATTTATTTAAATGTATTGTTACTCATTTTAGATAACAACTCTAAAAACTAAAATGAAAATATTATTTCAAGTGTTTCATTAAACAAATAATTTCTACCAAACTAAATGAGTAATTTATACATTTAATTTTAGAAACATCTTTAGTCTTCGTAATTTGTTGGTATTTTATTTTTTTAAAACTTTTTGGTATAAATTACTTTACTATATATACGTAACTAATATTAATGATATTATATCAAATATCCCATTTCATGATTATATAAGGTTAGTAATTACAGTTATTTGAAGAATAATTAAAAAATAATATAATTTTTTTCTTTCGATTTGTGGTTTTATGGAGGTAATATGGAAACATGTAACATACTCGTAATAGTATTATATTATTAAGAATGTTTTTCAACATAGTAATAGTCTTCATAATATGATATACGCCTACTATATATGAACCTATACAATATACACGTTACATTATATATAATCAAACTATGTTGTTTCGACCTTGACTGATATTAAATCATCCAAATGTTTAAATGAAAAGTACTTTTGTAAAAAAAAATAATTATAATTTGATGTAGTTATATAAAATTATTTTTAAAGAGCTAGATTAATTTTGACCCCATTTTATTAAAGTATAATTAGCTATAACTCAACGAAACTAATTTTTAGATTTTTACCTCGACATTATAATAAATATTTAATTGTATCTTCAGGAGTAATACTTTAATGAAACGAATTTAAATATATATACATTTCAAAACGTAATATTATAAAATTCAATATTTAATATGTGTTTTTATATTTTATCAATAAACCTTCGACGTTTAATCACCAAGTCGTAATACTTATAATTGAGACAATTGCATTAATTATTTTTTCATATATTATACCTAATGGTATTGTAAAAATATCATAAAAATAGTTGACCTATCCTATTATTAAAATTTGTTGAATAAAAATCATATATATACACATCCATACTTATTGAAGGTTAATTCACAAATAATTAATTAATAAATTGTATTACATTATATTACTACATTGGGATAAACGTTAAGTGCCGTCTAAATTGTTGCGTTATTATTTATTATTCGTTAAAACCAATAGTATTAAAATACATATTTCATGTATAATACTTCCAAGGCAAAACTAGAGTAATATCATTAATTATAATAAATAGTAGTAATAGTATTTATAATCAATGGTAATATCAATAAATATTAAGTGATATATCAACATACAAATCGAATTAATTAGTCACAAAAAGTATGGTATACATGTGACATTCACTTATTGGCGCTAAAAACTATAAAATACAAAATTATATTAAAAAAAATTATTCTAAACAAAAAAGTTAATATTCTGGGTATTCATATATAATATAATTTATTCATACATAACACAAATGTGTGTGAAGTTGAATATAAAATTGAAATTATTGTAAAAAAAAATGCATACATTTATGATCTTAGAACCATTTTTTTTATATCTGTAATAAGCCCGCTACATTAAATAATCATTATCAGGTAGGTAATTCTACAAGTGGTTTAAATTTTCTTAGATCCTAAAAGCAATGAATATGTTTAAAAATGTAACATGTCGGAAAAATAAATAAATATTTAAGCCAGTTTTATTGTTATTTTTTTAAATAAACATAATACCTAATATCTGAAATAGATTTAGTTTAAATCAAATATTCTCAAAAGTTTACTATTTTATGTTTTTCAATTGTCTCTAAAACTTCTTTTAATTATCTCGGGTCGTACTGCATATGCCTAATTTTTTAAATTATTGTTTTTTAGTAGCATAAACATCTTAACGGATATTTGACACATTTATTAAAAATCGTAAGGTCTGTAAGATCTGTAAATTAAATTTCTCATGACTTAGCTCACAATCTTAAACACGTTAAAAATTAAATTGATTTAGATATTAAAAAAATGTTCAACTTAACAATTTAAAAATATATGATTATTCCACAGTGCGTATAACTTAAAATTAAAAAAAATCGATTATAATAATATTTTTATTTTAATTGATTAGGGATGGACAACTCAAAGTTATTAGAGGGCCGATTTTTAGAAAATTAAATTCTAGTGGGCCAGAGCATGAAAAAAAAAATTCAATAAGAATTTTAAATAACATTTATATACACGGTAATAATAAATTCAACACACTCGACAGTACGATACAAATGATACAAGAAACTAAATAGTTTGGTAAAAACAGCTATAGTTGAAAGCTATACTTATACATAGACAATAAACTTTAAAATTGTATGGTGTAATTTTAAAATATAGCACGGACCAGATAAAAAAAGCTCGCGAGCCGCCAGTTGCCCACCCCTGCTATAACTTATTAATTTAAGTACTCAATAGAGGAATATAGAGATAATAAAATAGCAAATAATTTATTATTATAAAATACTAATCAAATACTAATTATTGTCTAAAGCAGTGGATCAATATACTTGAATAATTGTTTAAATAAATTTTTTTTTATGGTATTTATAATGAGCTATATATCATAAATAAACTCCTAAAGCATTTGAAAATTAAAACTTAAATTTAATTAATAATGTCCCTATATAAATAAAATAATTTAAGTATTAATTATTTTTACGTATTTATAAAACCCATTCTAATTAATCTTAAATTAATTTTAAGTTTAATTGTATTATTTATCATTTTAATTAAAATTAAAATTAAATAGATTATATAATTCATGCTTAATTTACAGTTCAACAATACAGTAGAATCTCGGTAATCCAATAAATATCAGTTCACGCTTATATTAACGTTATATACGCTATACCTATTACGCCGTATTAACGAAAACGACGGGTAATTGGGATTCACATGAAAACGCATTTTTACTTATTCAATTTTACATTTTTACTCATAATAAGAAATGATTAACTTTATTGTGTTTTATTATAGCATATTATAATACATACTAGGTTTAATTAATTTTTCGATGGGTCAGATTTAAAAAAATTACCAATTTGTTTTTTTTTTATTTGTTTGAAATTATGCTTTTTCTTTAAACACCGAAATATCACTTGCATCTACTCCATTCTCTTCTGCCTAGGTAATGGACGTAGAAAAAGAATCTATGCAGTGGGGTGTTTGAACAGCTACTTCTTCTCCCGAAGGTTTAAAAGATCGTTTACGATAGTAATTTTATGGTAATTTGCCAAATAAATATAGGTTAATACAGCCGGATTACTGGACGTACCGAATTATTGAATAGTCGTATTACCGAGATTCTATTGTATTCTTAAGCTAGATAGTCTCATTATTTTATTTTTTTTTCTAAGAAAAATATTGAGATTCACGATACGATATTCTATACCCAGTGAAACTATCATCAAAATTATAAAGATATATTAAATTTATTATAACTAATGCAATGTTAAAATGAAAATTAAAGATATTGTATTTTATAATTTCATTGCTGTATTGATTTTGACAAAACAAAATAATAGAAAACAAAATTTCATGTTTTAAAATGATAAAAACTATATTATTTTATCTACTATACATTAACATCCGTATTAAAATTTTAAATAATTGCTTGTATTTTTTCAATATTATAATAAATACACATTTATATTATAAAAATGTATAAAAAATGTATTGTGTAAATAAATTTGTAACATAATGTATTGGTATAATAATATTATGTTTAACAATTATTATTTTATGGAAAATCTAATGCAAAATTGAAGTATGTATAAAATAATAATTATCAAAAATAAGAATCAAATCCCTATTAAATACAAAACATTTATAGCTACAATAATTGTCATTACATGTTTAGTGCTTACACTAATGTGAATAATTATCTTATAAACAAATAAAAACATAATTTATACTTCACCAAATATAACGATTAGGATTGTATATTATAATTTATGAAACAACCTT